TCGGGTGAGGACGACCCGTAGCCGCTCCTAGTATCTGGGTATCGGTGCTGTTGGGATCGGGGGATGAGTCGCTTCGCGAACCCAGAGCTCCCTGGTGAGTTCGGACGGAAATTGGTTCCTGTCCTGAGAAGGCGGAGGGAACTATGGGATGGAGACTGGAGTTCAAGCATGCGGTAGTAGTTTGCTGTCTCAGTAGCTTTTCTTACAATAGCCGGGTCAATGACCATACGGCCGAACCGTCCTCGGTCCTGAGGGTGGATGCACATCGACGGGAAATCCAGGCCGAATAATGGTGTCAAGGCGTGTCGGATCTTCCAGCAGAATGTCGCTGCCACCGCTTTTGCGGCCTCATATGGCATCCAGTAGCCTCGAAAGGTAAAGAGTCAGCAGGAGAATACGGACAGAAAATGCCAGTCAAATACCTTGGGCGGCAAGTGCTCCCCCAGTGATACTGTGGCAAATCTCACGAAGACCAGGGTTGGCATTCAACATCTTGGCTGGTGTCGTCTGATCTCAGTCAGTCAGGAACTACTAGCCAAAGTCGTTGTGTATACCTTTGAATAGTCATTGCATTTGAAGAGATGTGTCGTCCGCACAAGGCCAATGTTGTAATCCCACATCACGATCCATTCTTTCTCGTCGCCAGGAAGTTTAAACGTATACTGAAAGACTAGAGAGCTTGTAAGCAAAAGCACCCCTTGTAATGCGGTGTGGTGTTGGCTGCTGTGACTCACCCTCAAAACTCTCCCGACCAGTCCGCTCCTGGAACGATTTTTTGTCACTGTTATATGGTATGTGTCTTGCGTACTCTACAATATCGCCCATGGGATGGATGCGAAATTCGCGGTGCTTTCGAGCCAACTCTTCGTCTCGCTCTTCGCAAGGGGGGTACCGAACCTCGCCCCTGGGCTTGGCCTTTGTGAAGATCGCGGCATCCTTGGCGACCTTAGGCCGTTTAGGACGGGGCGTATTAGAAGCCATACTGGCTGCAGAGCTTGCCAGTGTTTGGGTTGGTAATGATAGTTGGCTCGGGCCGGGAAGGGGATTCAACAAGGATGCTATCGACGCCATGTAAACAGTGGTCGAAACGAAGGTGGAGATTGATGTACAGTCAGCGGATCTCCAGTGAGTGCTTTTGGAGATAACCTTCTCTTCGAAGCTGGAGATTAAGAGAGACACTGAAGAAGACAAAAAGGTCAAGGTTGAGAGAGGATTTATCTGACTTGAGGAACAGCAGAGGATGAGGCTAAAGTCAATCCTTCCGATCTGATCCCTAAGACACTGAGGATGAAAGAATTCTAGAAGGCCTTGCCCAGTGCCAAAGGAAAATATAAGAGACAATGGAAACAAAAGGATGGGAGATGCAGAGACGGGTACGAAGGGTACGCAAATGTGTGGTTACCGTACTGCTTTGGGCGATCACCGGACTAGCCCAAAGAGTCAAATTAGAAAATAGAATGCTGGAGGCCCTCACAAGAGACAAGTGGGCGAGCACCCTTTTCACTTCTTTGTTAGGAGGCTTGTTCTGAATTGCATTCCCTTCTAAAAGTGGATGCAAGTGACGGCGTCTTAGGAAAGCTGCCCAAATGGCTATATTCTGTTTGTCCGGCCAGCCAAACTGAGAAGTAACCTCAGCAAGTGCAATCCTCTCTTTCGAGGCAATGTTCCATAACGGGGAGGCAGCGGTGAACCCAGGCCTACGACTAGACTCCAGATCTAGACGTCTGGGTTGAGCGGATGTCTTGGATTGAGGTGAGGTGGGAAAGTCTTCGGCATGAGAACAACCTCACCGGTACTTGGACCCAGGATTCATCACGAGGTACACGTTCAGATTGGCCAGGCTGCGATGGCGAGTCCAGACTTGCCCTACCTCAAGCACCGTTAGAGTATAGCAAGTACTCCCAAGGTATAACCAGACAACGGTTCGGTTGCAACAGAGCTTCAATTAGCGCCAGCTCGACAATGACAGAAAGCTTGCTCCCCTTCCTCCCTCTTCCTCCAACTCCCGTTCCCCTCTCACTGCCCGGCCATGACCTGTGACCCCTACTAGCCCGATCAAAAGTAACGCATGCCCTCCAATTTCTCGAGGCTTCACCTGTTCCACTCCTGATCTGCAGCTACCCAAGACCAAGAGATGACGCAGGCCTAATGAAGAGACATGGTAGATCACGTTTCAGGAACGGCTGCCACCATGTGGAGGTCTTGCATAGCCGGACCATGTCTATTGCTGCTCTTGCTCCAGATCCCCACCATGCAAACAGATGGAGACAGCGGTCTGACGAGCGTAGACCCCAAAGGGACTAGATAGCCATGGAAAACAAAAAAGGGTATCGACAGACTTTCGTACCGCGATACTAATTCATTTTGTGTTGACCATCTGTGGTTGTTCCCGTTCCCGGTTGGTGAAATAGTGTTTTGGTCACTATTTTTGCCCTCACAACTTGATATCAACCATCCATGTCGATGACCTCGACCTTAGAAGATGGTATCAACCGCTAGATCATCCGGAAGATTAGACCTGACCAGATGAAAATGGCCAATGAACGAACGGGCTCAACAGCGACGGCTCGACGAGGCGGGCAGTAGGGAGGTCTGAGACTGCGGATAGCTGCATGGCGCTTTCTTCCTGTACGACGGGAAGCTGCTTTTGCTCCCAACCAACGAGTTCCCGCTAAATCAGCCATTTGAGCCAGGTGAGACCCAGTATTGCCCGTAAATTTGTCCGTAAGGGCGACTTTGGCTCCATCCGAGTCGGATCTGGTCAGAGACAACCTAAAAATTGAATAAAAAATTGAGCTGCCGTGGTAAATAGTCCGAAAGGGACAATTCATTTCAGAACCATACAGCTCTTGGGTGAAGCCGGGCTAGCCTTCGAAGAAAGAGGACAAGCACAATAACAGTTGTTACACCAACGGAGCTCCCAAAATTATGTAGTCATTCTATTTCCACCCCCCTGCTTCCGCCCGTCAGGCGACATTGCGATAACATGGAGCATGCCATACTAGCCTCGCTCCCTGGAAGTGACACCCGTTGGTCGACTTGACGGCTTTGGTTCCGACAGACCGCTATGACAGGACATAGCTCTCACTGGGCAGTTATTTCATCAGAGACGCAGTTTATGCAGACTCTGCTTATAGGACCACAGACTTCAAAGGAACCTTCCATGCAGCTTCTCTGCAGTAGGTCCACAACCTCCGTGGCGTACCCAGTCGTCATTCCTGCTTGATGGCCTGTCTATTGGAGGACCCGCTTGTTTCGTTGATGTCGACAGCTCCGCCTTTGCCACCCTTTCAGGCTTCCTCTTTGAAGGCTCTGCATTGGTTTGTCAACGGTACTTCAGACCCGCAGCTAAGCCTGGGGACAATAGGTGGATGGCTACTGGCGATGAGGATTCTCAGCCTCATGCTGATCCACAGAGTATGAGGTCTTGCTTGAACCAAAGACAACAGCAAATATTCTTATCCATCACGGCCAAGTCAGTGGCAGTATCCCGTAGGTATCGAGCAGTCCTGCGCTTGCCATTCCAGAGCCTCTCAAGTTTGAGACAACGAGGATCTAGAAGGTGAGAGGGAAGCTCAACGTCCGAAACACGGACTACATTTGCAAAAACTACTCTCAATTTTCGCCATGGACGGATATCCTGTGTATACCTGTGCTTTCAAAATGAAGTCAGAAAAGTCTCAAGGCTGTTACTCGTATGCGACAGACGGCAAAGGATGCGTCATCGAGCAATGCCATCTTCTGTGAGTCAGACTGCCACAGGATCAAAATAGAGATTATGCAATGACTTCACTTAGCCTGCCTGTGCAGATCATGTGTCCCATTTGACCTCAAGCTGATGAGTGACTCGATATCAACACAGCAGGCTGCTCCAGCCCAGGTCACTGTTCTATTGAGAGGCAAACAGCACAAACAAGCCCAAGTCGCGTGACCTCGAGGTACAGAGTACGATGCATCGAAGCACTTCCCCAACCCCCCAACCCATGTGTCAGGAACTCTCGTGTTACATTGGACATTAGCTAACATACAACCCGGGGGTTGTACTGAAGCCTAGGTAACTCCTTAATTATTCAATCTGCATTATACATGACATGGCATGACATACAGCACGCAGTCAAGCACGCCCGTTGCGAAATGCGACGTTGCCGGGTGTCCCCCGTTAGACTCAGGGCGGGATGACCCCTGTCGACTGCGGCATCATAAAACAGCTCAGGCAACACTTGTGTGACGTCTCTCAATCTGGGGTAAAGGGGTGGAAAGGAGCGAGGTCATCCCGCTTACTGCAGATCACAGACAACGTTATGTCCTGTTTGGATGTATTAGGAACAAAGTACCACGCTTCGTGGACTTGGTCCGCATTGCGATGCAGCATTGCCTGAGAGGAGGCGAGTCGGAGCCATTACACTCCTTAGGCCGTGAGGCTGCCATGGGTTGATAATCGAGGATCGAAACGGTTATTTCATATTGGCATTCTTGAAAGGGGAGGTCGACCGACGGATCAGACCTTCGCAAGAACAAGACTCGGCACAAGTACCATGATGCAGACAACTCAATAAATTTGAGGCGGATCGTAGCGTATGTCATTTAGCACGCTGATGCGCATCTTAAATACAACGATACTAGAAAAGCATGAAGAGGGGGAGAAAGGAAAAATGAAAATGAAAAAAAGGAAAAAAAAATTTACATATGTCACAGGATACTGATGGTGAAGCTTTTAGACAATAAACCTGAGTGTCAACGCAGACTCGATTGCACACAGAAAAGAAGACCCTTGTAAAGGGAAATAAGAGAAAAAGAAACCCTGAGAAATCATACCATCTTAACATCATGCACGCCGAACCATCCGTCCCGAGTCACAATGTACAATCCAATTCTACCCAAACTCAATTCGCAGGAGCAATACTAGATCGCTTGCCCGTTAGCATAATCCATGTCCGATGTCATCATATCTTTGACCGGCTAGCAGGTCAATAGACGAGCAATGAGACCAAATTGCGCACTTAAGCAGCCAGCAGAGGCTCCCTGGACTCCAGAGGCTGACGGTTGTGCTCAATCGGTTCTGCTACCGGCTCCTGCTTTGGAGCCTCCGGGAAGTCCGCTGTCTTGATGACGGGTTCGGGGATGGGCTCCTGCTTGACAATGGCTTCGGCGCTAGGCTCCTTCTTGACAACAGGACCGGCGGCCTTGGTAGCTTCTGGTGAAGTACTGCGGCGGTGGCCAATGTACTCCTGAGCCTTGGCGCTGTAGTCACCGACGTATTGCTTCACGAGACCGGTGGCATGATGGGTACGCTCCTCGGCGAGGTCCTTCAACTGGTGCGCTTGGGAGTTGATAATTGCATGGACATTCTCAATTTGAGCATCAATGACTTCGCGGTTGTTGATGTAGACAAGCGGTCCCAGATACGCGATGGTGACAGCAATGAGCGACAATCCCCAGAATGGGAGGAATTTGATCAGCCAGTAGGCAGTAAAGGCGGCAGAGAAGGCCTGCAACTCCCGTCAGCGCTGAGCCCGTACTTCAAAAGGACAATAAGAGGAAGCATATTCGAGGCTAAACATACAGCAACAGTGTGGACCACATTCTCGGCGAACAGAATACGCTGGAACTCAAGAAGAAGGAAGTCGACGAGCTGTTCAAGGTCCTCCAGGACTGCCTCAACGGTTTCCTTGGGGACGGTGTAGTATTTGCGAGGACGGAATGAGCTGGCGAGGCCCTGTGACAGCACGAGACGACCACCAATTTCGGCCGCAGCAGTGACTACCATCTCAATCAGCCAACGATCGCAATATATGCACCAACCAGTATCAACTCACATCCCAAAGCCAGATATGTAAACTTGAAGAACCAGCGAAGAAGGGGCAGGTAACGGGCGGCAAAGATAAAAGCGATGACGCTCACAAAGGAAACGGCAGTAGCTCTTGGTTGCTCCCACTGGTGCATGTCAGCAACATATAAAATTGAGACCAGACCAGGAGATAACTCACGCTCAGGAGTCTGTAAAGCAAGGAATGATAGTCTATGCGATCATTAGCTCTGTTTTCTGAGGTTACTAGCTTGACTTTAAAAATTGCTTGACATACATGTCAGGGGCTGGCCGGTCGCAGTGGTCGTTGACGGAGTTGAGCTCGAATATCTCAGATCGCGCAACTCCTCTTGGGTACGCGAGGCCTCAGACTTGATGTTGTCAATAACAGGACCTGCAAAGAAATCTTGTTAGAACTTTGATATCTCCGCTATCGATTGAGTTCATTCTGTACCGTTCGTCACAACATCTCTGATGCCTAGATTCTAAGGTCAGTCTATGTAACGCTAGGCCGTAGGGAAATGACAAACTATAGATAGCAGTTGTAGTTAGCATTCCTGTCTTCAAAGGAAGTCGCCTATGTCTGCTCCAAACGTACCTTACTGCCGTTAGGGTTGGGATAGCTCACGTCACCTTCGGCCATGGCGGAAGTTTGTGTGGAAAGCTCTAGAACTTGGGTCACAGAGTATGAAGATGATTTTGTTGTCAGGGGTTCCGTGAGAAAATGAAGTTCCGGATTTAAACAGATGAAGTCGATGAGATTAGGAGGAGTGTTTGAAGAAGAGAAGGATAAGAGAGGGATGAACGGATGTGGATGGGGGCAGCAGCAGCAGAAAAAAGATAAGGAGAGGGTCGTGCTTTAGTCTAGTCTGGTTCGATCCGGCCTGTTTTGGTGGTGATGCAATACAAGCGAGCCCGGACAGGTTCGGGCTTGTCTGGTCGTGTGCTTCACTGCCTTTTCTCTCTTGTCGAGTTAAGGGGACGATCCACTCAAGTATTATTCTGCAATAATAAACGTCATTTATTGTTCATTAATTAGTTCTCGTCTCGAAGCATTAGAAGACTGCTACCTACTCCGTACATGGCGGTAGGATTGTCTGACAGAGCTACCATTAATATTTCTGGGCTCCTTCGACATGTGATAGCGGCACTCTTTTCCTAGCGATGACATACGCAGTAACAACATCATAGGGGCATTCTATCGCCACACTCTGCAAACTTGGCAAGCAGCATATCCATGAAAGCAAAGTTCCAGTGTTACTGCTGTACTACTACATACAAAGGTCATTGTCCATTTGTATGTGGACTTGATCAGATCTCTCAGCATTAATATTGTGGCTGAATAGACACAGTCAACCCCGCGCATATGGGCGAATGGTGGACGCCGTCGAGTACCTATGATCTCACAATGATATCTTGATTCTGACAGGCTGATTTGAAAGACCATGTTTGCACTGCTGTTGATTGCAGGAACCGAACGCCCATTAACGAGCCCGCTGTTCGATCTTCTGCTCGAGTCGTCAAGTTGGTTGGTGGATTGCGGCTTATAATAGCTATGCTCTTAAATTCTTAAATACAGTTCAGAGTTCTGTCCAAAAGCTTAGATCTAGTTTGTCAACCCTTTTGACTGTTCTCCGTTCTGGCACTGGTTTATCCCACTGGAGGAGGCAGTAGTGAAGGCTGAGAGGCTCACCGACACCGGCCGATTCCACTGCTGGAAGCAAGGGATCAAACGACTGCAGAACAAGAGAGTCTGGTGCAGGCTTTGGCCATCAGGTATGACCCTTCTAGCGAGCTGCTGGCTATTTGAGAAGGAGCGAGTATAAATGTCATTGTATCGAGGATTCGCAGCGTAGAATTAGAATAAATCTAGATGCCAGCAAAATCAGGCAGAGTGCATGATGTAGTGTATCACGTGATCTGGCGGGACTCACGCGTCTCCGATGTTTTGATGCTCAACTTCCGCCGACGACGAGCGACCGCAGCACATTGTTCGCCAACAGACATTAGCCGCACCACTCCATAAATCGATGATTACCTCGCCTGGTACTGACTCCTCAGAACGGGCATCTTGGCCCTTTACGTGATTGCACCGATTCATCCCGCACCCGCCCAGTAAATCCTTCCGATCGCATTTGTTTACATCGCCATGGCGCCTGCCGGACCAAGGGTGCAGAAGCCTGTGGGCTCTGCAGCATGGATTTCAACCGAGAAGGAGAACTTTGCGCAGCTGGTCGATCAGGAGATGGAAGAGATTGAGTATCCTGTGCGCCATGAAATGGATTGGTTGAATGAGCACATGGCAGAGGTGTTCGCCAGCAATCAATTGTGCGTTCTGATCTACATCTCAATCAAACCGTTGACCCTTGCTGACTGCAAAATAGCAATCTTACAGACGTGTTCAAAACTCCCGGAAAGCTCCGAGGTAAGACACCTCGAACAGCACGGAAGCGGAATGTAAATGAGAACAGAATTGTACGTTGGCCACACCCATTGCTATGTTTGATGATCTTCGATTATTCGTACTAATCGATAACAGCCTTTGAGTGAGATCTTCACAACATCTCATAATCAAGGAGACCGCAGTCGTAATGTCAGCCCCGCCCGTTCACCCGTCAAACCCTCCGCTGCGCCTATCACAAGTGCGCCGTCGGAGCCAAAAGTCTCTCCAGCCAAGACGAGGGATGCCGCGGAGAATATCTCGCAGCCTCAATACCCTGATTTAAGCCAGAACTTGAACTCGTTCCCCCAGTATAACACTGATTCTGGCTACCATGGCATGCCGGACGATGAAGGGGAGGATCAGGACGATGATGTGGTTCTCACCCAAGTGCAGTCGGAGACGCAGACATCCACCCAGCCTGTCGAAGACGAGCCCGTAACCGCCAACGAAAACCGAAACGAACCACAGCGACAGTCTGTTGATCGTCGTACAACAACTGCTTCATTCCATTCAGCTCAGGAAGACGTACGGCAACGCGGAGAGACGATCGAGCCTATGGGGGAGCCTGTGGAGGCTATCAACAATGAGACAACGCCAAGACAGGAGAAGGCGGCTTCTTCCACGCCTCAGCCAGACGAAAAGCAGCCGGAAGCATTCGTCGTGGCAGATCCGGCACCAGAGGGGGAACCAGAGGCCGAGTCGGAGTCCGAGTCCAAGCCACGGGCGGAACCACAAACATCGCCAACCAAGTCTTCTCCAATGAAACGACCAGCAGCTCCGGTGGAAGAAGATCCGGTGGAAGAAGATATCCACGAAAAGGACGACACGCCTCTTGACTCCCTGGATGACATCGGCACGCCTTCGGACAACTCCACTCCGGAAAGACCTCCCATCCGCAAGAGCAGTCTGAGCTTTGCATCGCTCCCTGCACGGGAGCCACTATTGAAGAAGAGCTTGGGTGGCTCGAGACTCTCTCGCACAAGCCACGTTGATATTGCTAGAGTGAATAATGCTGCAGGTCCTAGTTCATTTGGTCGGCAGACCGGTGGACACAGAAATACCGCTGTGGATGAGGAGCCAGCGCTGGATGACGATATGGACATTGATGAAGGTAGAAGAGGTGCTCAGCTGCAGGATGATATTGAGGCAGAAGCAGACGCCACAGCTAGCAAGGCCCATACCAAGTCTTCCACTCAGAGACTTCACGAAAAGATTAGCATGCTTGGCAAACTTCAACCCTCGCGGCCCACGAAGTCCATCCCATCCGTTTCAGGTCTATCCTCCGCTCACGTTGTTTATCCCGAGCTCCCGGCAGCCAGTGCAAAGTCAGAGGTACTCAATCAGGAATCTCGCGAGCCGGCTGCACCGGAGCCTATGGCAATCGACGCGGACGACTGGATCAAGCCAATAGAGTCTCCGCAGAAAGCACATGCTCCCAGAAGCCCGAAAACGGAAGTGAAGGTGAAAGAGCCCACGAATGAAACGAGTCGTGCACACAGTGAGAAGGTTTCGCTACCACGAACTCAGAATCAGATCGACGCGGACGCGGCGAGAGCCAGCAACCGAAACGTCGCAGAATCAATCCGTGAAAAGTCTTCAACACCAGCTTATTCTTCACCCCAACGGCCTGCTCATCAGAAGAGTGCGTCAGTGTCCAACAGGAGCCACCACGCTTCCACAACACCAGTGGGGTCTCCCGCTGCCGAGCGTGATGATGGCCCTCTGAGCGCATCCAAGTTGAAACTTCAATCCATCATGAGATCTGCCAAAGGTCTGTTTACGAACACTGGCAGTGTGACAGCTGCAGCAAGATTAGAAGCGTCCTCGCCTGATGAGCTAGGGTTGCATTCGTACAATCGTGCAAGCGCTGATGCTGGTCGTGAAACACAAGATCGCCGGCCAGTCCAGATATCTAGTCCTCTTCCTCGACAGGAAGGGCGCAGAACGCGAAGCTCGACAGAGAGGGAAGAAAAGCGCAAGCAAAAAGAGCTTGAAGATCGTCGTCGAGAAGAGGAGGAGGCGGAGAAAGCGCGGGTAGAGGAACGCCAGAGAGCCCTTCAGTTGAAGATTGCTCAGGAAAGGGCGCGGATGGAAGAAGAGGAACGTAACGCTCCTCCTTCGGCAGCCGCCGCTCCAGCAAGCTCGAAGAAGGCACAGCCGCTGCAGAGACATCAATCCAGAGAGCCCGAGCCCAGCCATGAGACTAGTTCTCGAGCACCCAGTCGAATGTCCGTCTCCCAACAGCAGTCAAAGCAGAACGATCGGCGCCCTGTCAAGCCCACTCGTGAAGTTCTCCAGAAACCCAAGCCTCAGCCCGTCTCCATTCGTGTTGGCAGCGCGCTTTCGCGCCAGATACCACTGGCATCCACTTCTGTGGCGTCTAGCGCTCCGGAGCCCAGTGCTTCTGTCGCTGTACCGCCCTCGGCTTCCAAGCCGCCAACTCTCAAAAAGAAGGCCAGCAATTCTTCTTTACATACCGCCTCTTCAAATAGCAGTTTCAAGAGCTCAGTCTCCAGCCAATCGCAGCGCAAGGTTCAGCTTGCGAACGAGAGGAAGAGGGAGCAGGAAGAAAGAGAGGCGCGCCGCAGGGAGGAGCAGAGACGTGAGGTAGAACGCAAGCGAGCTGCTCAGCAGCAAGAAGACGCGCGTCGTCAGGAAATGCGCAGCCGAGCAGAGGCCGAACGTCGGGAAAGGCTTGCTGCTGAGGATGCGAAGAAGGCTGCCCAGATACAGGCGATCGAGAAGCGGAGACAGGAAAATGCACGGAGATTGGAAAGACAGGGCAGTCAACAACCTACTAGTGAACGGGTAAGTGAATCCCGTGAGTGGCTTTGAACCATGCTGATACTTCATCTATTTAGGCTTCAATTGTCCAGCCAGAGAGACCTCTTTCACAGGCTGCCAGACCCGCGTCACGGCTTGGATCCATCCAACCTTTCAGTCGGACGATCAACCCTCCTCAACCCAATCCGGCCAAACCACCAAAGAGAGGGTTGGATGAGGAAACCAACTACCGTCCCGCGGCTATGAAGTCCAGTACTGTCCAACCTTCCGGGGAATCCAAGCGCAGGAAGACGGAAGACGAACACAACCCTATGTCCGCCATTCGACCCACAATGGCCCCACCCATCAGACAGTCGGGTATCCGCAAGGTAGACTCCCGCCATTTCCAAATCACTCTGGTCGTATATGCTCATCTGTATTGCAGGAATCCATGAAACCTCCCATGTATGGTCACGGACAGACGTCTACGCATCAGCAAGGCTCTTCGATCTTCAAAACCGCCCAGCCCCAAAGGCCAGCTCACCCCATGGATATGGCAAAGTATGCAAGCGGCAAGATACCCTTCGCAGAACCAAGCAATGCCGCGTCTCAGCTGCCTGGGCATAAGACTCCAGGAGCCAGCTCGTCTCAAAGGGCACCGGCGAAGCCATCTCCCAACTATCCCAACGGCGAGAACATTCATCTTCCCGAGATTGCTACCGATAGTGAGGATGAGGATTCGGATGCGGAGATGCTCCCCGTGCCCAAGTGGGCTCAGCCTAAGGAGCTCGAGAACATCCTTCGCCAGCAGGAAGGCATGGAGGCGGACTCGATCTTTGGTCCCATCGCTCCGTTCTCACTGGAGGAGACTTTCAAGGCGGACAAGAAAATCAAGAAATTCCGTGAGCGTACCAGCAGCGCCAACTGGTCTGGTGCCGATGGGCTGACCCAAGAGGAAATCCGTCGTGACCTCGCCGAGCGTCAACGGCTGAGACTCAACGGCGGCTGGACCTTTAACTCATAATTCCTACCTCCATTCTTATTTTGGTCGGGTATTTGTTCAATCTTTATGTTGAGGGGTTTGCGTTGCTAGCGACAGCTGAACTCTGGGAGAAATTGGGTGATTGGCATACCTGGCGGCGTTTGCGGGTCGTTGATACGCTATTAGCTTTGCAGTTGCATTATTGGGAACGTAACCAAGCATTTAAATTTACACGATTATGGATAAGTTTAGGTATTCTAATGTAGTCGAAGCATTGGTTTCTTCCGGTCGAATACAATAGACTTGTAGTCCATATTACATACAGTCCATCTGATCGAGATATATATTGTATCTGCTGTACACAACATCGTTCTAAGAACTACTACGAAGGGCAGACGGGCAAACAAAACAGAAAAACATCAAGAAAAAGAACGAGAAAGGGTAAACATAAAAGAAAACGAGGGACTGATGAAAACCGTTCCAATATTGATAATGAGAGGGGTGGAAAAAAAAAAAAATGCATCATCCGTGAATCGAACACGGGCCTCGTCGATGGCAACGACGAATTCTACCACTAGACCAATGATGCTAGTTGTTGAAGTTCTTTTCTTACTTTGCTATATATTCCAGAGTATCCTAGTCCTTCAATTGCAAGAGCCTGGTCCAGTACAAGTTGAAAATATATAGTAAAGAGCAACGTACAATCGACGAGACTCAAGTCACAAATGGGTTATTTAGGCAGCCATCGGCGTCTACAAGTATTCGCTATGTGCGTTCAGGTGTCGAGAGAGACTTCGTCTACTGGTTTATTTAACTAGTACTCTGGGAAATATATAACCCCCACGGACTCATCGTGAAGCCCTAAAGACTTAGAGACCCAGTGAACAGCAGATGTCTCAAAAGTCGGATTTCTGTTCCTCAAGGCTCTGGTATCAAGGTGAAAGGCACTCATGATTTTAAGTCGCTACATTCTACCGCTAAAATCCAATTCAAGCGAATTTGCTATGGGCTATTCCGGATATAATTTTCTGAGTTTCATATTCTGGCACACACGACCACAGGGTATGGAAAACAGGGCTTCCTATCTGATATAGGAGGTATTGTCCCAATAAGTTCGATGGAGACCGTCAGGACAATCATTGCCAATGCCAACATCCAGTGCAGACCATATTTCGAATGGAGACTGTCTTCCAGCATGGGAAATGGCTCGACATGTCCAGTCAAGTAACTAGACAGCACACACAACGTTAGAGTCCAAATCAACAGCATCAATGATCATGTCACAGTTACGCTTTTCTTGTCCAACTGAGGGGCCAGTATGGAAATCTCTAGCACCAACAACCTGATATAGTCCCGATATCCCAGGTCAAGTCGTATCAAGGTCCCATCCCAGCTTTGACTCCAATCCACGATATCTGGGACGTCGTGTACCCCGTAGTATGTTGGAGATCCCGGATCCCAAACCAGAGATCACATTGCTCCTTGCCCTCCTTGTCCTCCTTGTCCTTCTTCTCCTTCTTCTTGATGGCTTTGAGGAGCTCCTGGGCCTTGGTGCGCTTGCGCGCAACTTCCGCTTCTTCGGCCGCGGCGGCCTTCCTTCTCCAGCCGATCGGCTTTAACTTCAGCCCGCTAATATGATAGATAATGTCATATATCAGCATCAGCCTTCGCTCACTACTATACGTGCGTAGTGGCAATGACAGACAGTCTTACCAATGTTTCCGATGGACGAATCCATTTGACAATATGGGCCTTCGCTATGGAACCCGTATCTCATGACCTTTAGAGCTAGACGTTGGTCAAGCAGGTCATTTGAGGGAGTAAAAGCGTAACTGGTTTCCAGTGTTGCGTTACTAGTAGTCAAACGAGCATCTGGAGAAGTGATAATGTCTTACAGAAAGTGAGTGAGGAGCCTAATATGACAATAGCTTGAGATGTTGGTAGGAATGGTTAAAATTTCTGTTCATTCACTGTCTTTAACTTCCACTAGTGAATTGTCTGCTTTTAGATCTATGTTGTGTGAATATCTGTAGGGGCTGAATAAGTGGATAGTCAATAGACCAGAGTCCAAGGGTTGACCTGAGTATCGAGAATCCGAATTCTTGATTCACCGCTTCTTTGACGATATGGTAGACATAATTTCAAGTCCACAGGGGATGTCTATATCCAACGTGCATCCGTTGATGGTATTGGTATTTTATCATGACATCTGCAAGAAGTATACAAGGGCCGAGACCCTATCTAGATACATACATTGTGCTCAGCAAGACTCAATCCCACCATGCACTGATAGTTACAAGCCTGTCCGGACCATTTCAATCAACCTCCGGTTCAACGTCACTGACCTCCTCGTACGCCTCGTCCATGGCGTCCGGATTGAGATTGGCTGCGTCGGGGGTGATGCCATCCTTGTGCCTGTCTCTGTCATGGGATACCGTGCGCCACCCAAGTGGCTGCGATGGGTCTTTGATGTACTCGGACATGGGGAACTGTCGCAGGTCAGCTAGTATCCAAAAGAGGGAAAGAGATAACCTACGTAATGATCGTTCTTCTTCATCGTTACAACCCATGGCACATTGTCAAAGGTCACGGCACGCAACCGGAAGTATGTATTGTCTGGAATTTTGCTGACCTCCCTGACGAAGCAGTCAAGGTTCGGAGTCGGAACGCCATTTACGGCGGTGATGAAATTCGTCGGTGCGAGGCCATATTGATAGGCCGGGGAGCCGCGACTCTGCAGGAGGTTAGTACCACGACTACATTAAAACCCTCAAGTACAATGTTGAACATACCCTTGCGCTGACATACACCTCGCTGTGCAGCTTGGAAATTTGCTGACGTACGGCGTGGTGTGGCTTCTGTAGCACAGCACCGCAGAAGACAACAGCACGGTCCGTCTCCAGATCCTCGGTAGGCACTGTCGGTAACTTGAGGTGCATCTCCTGTCCGTTGCGCACGATAAGAGCGTCAAGAACCTCTTTCTCATACATTTTGTCCAACTCGGAGACGCGAGTAATGAGTTGACCGTCCAAGGTCAAGATAATGTCCCCTTCTTGTAATGAGTCCGCGTTGGACGTAAACTGCGGCGGAGGACAATCGACTTTGCGCACCATGAAGAGTTGGTGCCGCGATGGATTCGCCTGTGCTACCTTCTGAATCCACTCTTCCGAGACCCCCATGATGCGGGCCTGACTCATTTGAACCACATAGCTCTCCATGTTGAGGATTCGCAGCTTGGGAATGATCCCCTGCTGAATCTTGGATGTAACAGGCAGGAGCGCCGGTGTAGCGAAACCGAGATGGTATTCCACATCCTTGTGAGAGCTCGGGGTGCGCTCTCCCAAATAGTTGAGCCACAAAGCCTGGACGACTCCATCTTCCCCAATCAGCACACCGTTCGTACACTGCCCACTCAGGCCCGTATCAACCGTGATAGCGTCCAGGTTAATCGCACGGTAGCGCGGCGCCGAGGCGTTCGCGGGGATCGAGACGGTGGTGATGTCGGTGACCGCTGTCTTGGCGACCACGATGCGGAAGTTCTGATTGAAGCCCACAAAGATGGTCTCCTGGCCCTGCTTGATGTACTCGGTGCTCAGCTTGGCGCTCTGAACTGGAGCCTGTACGAGACTGGGGTCATATTGGATGATGGTATAGTTCTGTAGAGGATGCAAGAAGATAACCTTGGCCGCGACAATGATCGAATCGGCCACAGTGATGTTGATGTCACATAGATTATAGGGAACAATAGCTCTGGACACCACAACAAGACCCTTTTCGGCATCGATTACCAACCCGAAACCGGTTTTCTTGGCTTGCGGGTACCCGTCGAGCTTCAAGGGCATGGTGCAGGAGACACGTACGAAGCTGCGCACAATATCTGCAACCGCAGGCTGACTGACTCCGTCGAGCTGAATGAAATCAGCTTTCCTCGGAACCGGCGTTTCAGCTGGCACGGGGTCGGAAAGATCGGAGAAGTCCCAGAGACCCGTCTCGTCGTTACGAATGGCCATTCGCATCTTGGGATGCCAGTGGCGGTCTATGTACACGATGCTGGTACCCCGGGTGTGGAGATCTCGAATATGACGATACGAGATGACCACCCGAGCCCGATCCGGAATCGTCTTCATTACTTCAATGAACTCGTCTAGGTTTCGGGTCGGGCGTTTGTCCACAGCATCAATAATCCACCCCGACAGGGTATTCTCCAACTTGAAAGAGCCTGCTGCTTCGCAAACATACACTCCTCGAGCGGCAATGGCATAAAGCCGGGCCTGCTGATAGGACAGATTGTGGAAAGTGCCACCGGCCACCGCCACAAAACGGTCTGGTGTGATGGCATGCAGATCGCCAACCTCGCATTCCACCTCGACATTCTGACCGCCTCTCTGAACCAGCAAACGCACGGTCTTCCCGACGCTTGAATCGAGGATATCGTCCAACCGGATGAACTGCGTGAGGAGCTCGCCGTTGACCTGCAGCAGGACATCTCCTTCTTCGAGCTTTCCATCTGCAGGCCCTTCAGGTAATATGATCTCAGCCACCAACATACTGGTCTCATGCGGCGAGGCTTTGCGGACAGCAGCCTCCCACTCCGGAGTCAATCCCAAGCGCCGACACTCGTCGAAAGGTTTGAGGATCCACTGTGTCTGAATCGTACCCCGGGCGACAGGCTCACCGCGTCGGATGCACTCCAACGCGCGAAGGGGGCGGTCTAGGGGAAGGAAATAGTCCGTGGCCGCACCATCCGCGCGACCTCCAGCCTGTAAAGCAATTGCATGTCCGTCGATATTGACAACAGGACTGCCGGAACTGCCACCACTGGCGGCTGCCGCGGCCTGGATGTAGTTCGTATTAAAATCACAGTAACCGTCACCATACTCCGGCGCATTTCTGTCGAGCCGACTGATGACACCAGACAGAATGCTCAGCTTCTCCCCAGCATCATTACCCACGACTCGAATCTCACAGCCCACGCGGGCCGCCTCCGGTCGAAGCTTGAGCTCAGTCAATTCCATGTATCGAATCGCCTTGGGGTCGAATTTCAGGATACCAAAGTCGTGCACGGGATCTCGATAAACAGGACGCACGTCGCACTAAATAATCCCATGTCAGCACTGCACCCATATCCGTATGTCCAAGCCCAGAGATCCAACTCACCTCCTCATGATTATCAAATATACAATAACCCCAGAACGGCCCCGCGCAAACCACATGGCGATTCGTCAGGATATACCCGCGCTCAGCATCGACCACAAACCCCGTCGCCTGACTACTCATCGACAAGTCCGTATCAAACGAACAAGTCTGGCAGAAATGGATCGACACCACGCTCTTGACCACCTTCTCGATCGTAGCCTGCCACTCGGGCGAATCCGCCTGCGCGGGGCCGATAGGCATCACCCGGCCTGTATCCTCATCATCCTCGACATCGTAGACGGTCCCGTTCGCGGGTGTCGCGTCCCCGGGCGTTAATGTCGAGCTCTCGGGTTTCAGGTGTTTGGCTGGACGGTCGGCGGGGGCGGCGACGGAGCTGCGCTTGCGCTTTGTGCTGGTCTCGCCATTTAGATCCATGCTCTTTCGAGAAGCAGACTGAGATAGGGACGGACGGGAACGAGTGAAGGGTGCGAGGGAGGAAAGTAATCGGTTGTTTGTCCCAAGACTGCTGCGTATGACAGGTGTTGCAACGCTAGACCACCGCGAGAGAAGATGTCGATGGGGCAGGAGACGATCAAACTGCTTATGCGGCGACACAAACGTAACACTGTAGACACTAGGCGATCGTGAACGACTCCAGGCGTATCGAATAGACTGTTTGGAAATTCGAGGTGTAGAGGTGTATCGCGATGGGGGCGGCGCGGAGGCGGAAGTAGCAGTAAGATCAGCGATAGTAGTAGCGACCGGCGGGCTCCTTCTGTACAAAGGGAGCAAGACGCAAGACATTCACAAGACACCCCCTCCCAAGTCAGCTACTACCTTAGGAATAGAAGAGGGGAAAGAAGCAAAGAATGAAAAACTGAGGAGGGTGAGACGAAGGTTAGTAGGGAGAGGAAGTCAGGCACTCAAACTCCAGAGCTTCCCAAGGTTCTTTTTTTTGCAGGGCGGACAGCCGCAGCGCAGGCCACTGATTGGGCAAGACCCTGGCCCGACAGTGGCTGGAAGGGGGGATCAAGTGATGATGCGCAGTCATTGTAGTCCTGTCTTCTGACCTTTTCTACTGCATAGATTAAGGTAGATCTTGAAGAGAAAGCGACCGAGACAAATTGCAATCAAAGCGGATCGTAGTCCGAAGTGAATTGTTGTTCTACCCTGCTCATCTACATGTGAAACAGCACAAATCTAGCGATTACTGTCATGGCAACGTCACATCCGGAACAGACCAACAAGACGCCTTCTCTCCATGGAGCTATGTAATATACATCACTTCCTAGTATACAAGTAGATACAAGTCAAGAGGATATATGACACTTCCTGTTCTCACACAACCACCTCAATACCCAGGGACAGTACATCAGTCCAAGTTCCCGCTTCCGACAGGGGGAAGAAAGTGTCCGGCATCCGAGAGATCCTCGAGTGTTGGTCCATCGCGCTTGGTATTGAACATTGCACGTTCAGGAAGAGTCCCGGCTGGAGCCGTTTTGTTGTAAATAAAGAAGGCTAGAAGAGAGATCTCCCTTGTACTGCTTCTTGGTGGAGACTGAGTGTGGAAGAGCTGGCGACGGTTATGAAGAGACTCGTGGGGTTCTGTCCTCCAGTTAATAACGATCAAGTGACTATTCGTAGTCTGTCGTCTATCACTGAGGAGTCTGGTACCGGATCGCATGTTCGCAGTGTTGTCGAGTGTCGCCTGGCGCACCGTTTTTGCTTTAAATGCGTAAATGCGTAATCCCCGTCCAGCAATGACCGCTCATGCCGACCCCGGGTCTGTAATCAGCGTAGCGCCGAGCGGATGAAAGCCGAGAACTGCGCAGGTAACCTCGAAACGAGGGGCGTTGACTTTTCTGTTGCCTTTCGTGTGCTGGCCGATTGCTATTCCAAAATCAATTTCAGGCGCGAATGAACCCTACAAGTGCCCATACTCAAACCGCCGACTCGGCCGCGGGCGACGGGCTCGGCTTGGTGTTGCCAGGCGTACCTTGCGGGCTAGGTTGGGGTGTGCCCACGGCACCTTTCGACGGCCGGAACAGCTCATTCAACTTGTTGTAGAGCTCGTTGATCGCTGGCATGTTGGGAGGCGGCGTCATGATGGCCGGGGCGGTGGGAGCCACACCACCCGACTTCTTCGCCCGATCGGCAATAGTCGCCAGATACGCCAAATTGGCCTGGAGACGGCGCATACACTCAACATACTCGAGACTGGGCTTTTGCGTCGGACCCTTGGCCGCGTCGGTCGCCTGGTCGGAAGTTGGTGATGGATTGTTGTCTTGCGATGCTTGTTGATTCGGAGGCCCGCCAGCCTTACCCGCCGCCTGCAGATTGATGACCTCTTGCAACAAGATGGAGTTGATATCCAGGAGGGTTGACACACGAGCCTTCTCTCGCGCTGCCGCAGCCGGACTCTGCCCTGCTGTCGGAACGGATCCTTGCTGTTGATTTGGCTGCTGGGCAGGGCGTTGTTGCTGTTGCTGCTGTTGCTGCGGCTGCTGCTGTTGTTGCTGTTGTGCCGGAAGCATGCTATTCGCAGAGACCGAAGCCATGTTTTGCGTGAAGTTTTGCGCCGCACTCGGGGACATGTTCGAAGAGGGAGCACCCTGATGCGGTACGAACTGGCTAAGAGTGGCTGGAACAGGAGGTTGGGTGAAAGCAGCAGAGAAATTCCCGTGGGGACCTGCAAAGCGGGAAATTGCACATCACGTTAGCGGCTTGCCTAAGAGCCTAAATCATCCAGGGCGTCCATCCGAAGAAGTCGTGCGACTATATACTCCGCAGATACTCTGTAGATATGTAACGGGGCAGGGGAGGTGTTCAGGAACGATGTTAAGGCTAATGGCCCGCACAGGTAGGACAGGACATTCATGGCATCCATCAGGGATTTGGACTGAGGAAGACAGCTGAATCAAAGTTCATTCAAAACAAACAAGCTTCAGATAGCAAGTGCAAGTACTCGATCGACAAGACGACCGAAGGACCAGGCCAAGGGGACAATGCACCCTACGCAGAAGAAGGACGGCCGGTGAATGGTTGGACGACGCGAAAAGGAAAAGCAGAAAAAGAAAAGATAAAAACTAGAAAACGACCATGGAGATCAGAAGTCAACGTACCAGACGGCTGCTGAGGGAAACCAGACGGCATCATAGCTCCACCGGGACCGCCAGATTGCAGAGGCACGGGACCGAAAGAATGCTGCTGATGCGGTTGTTGGACCGGCGTCTTGGATTGGGGAAATGAGGAGGTGGGCATAGCATTCGGATAGAAAGGGAACTGCTGTCCGTGTGGACTCTGTGTGGTGACAGGATATCCCGCGTTGTGCTGCTGTTGTTGCTGCAGAGCAGGATAGCCGGTAGCGTTGGGATCCATTTTTCCTTATTCACAGTGGTCTGGTCCGAACGTAGTACCTTAGTGATTTGATTCCTGGAGAAAATTTGCCCCCAGTGTTACGCTCGGCGGCCTTTCTTCCCGCTCGACCTATATTAATTTGCTGGACGAAGGGGGATGCGCAAAAAAAAAGACTTGAAATAAGGCACCGCACGGACGATAGGCAGGCCCCAGTTAGAGCGCCAGAATAATCTGCGAAGGAGGAAGACCAGCTTAGCTAAGGTACGACCCGTAGACAGCTCTCTGACACTCTGACTCGTCGGGGAATCCAGGGATGACTCGTTAGTGTACGGAGTCAGAGGACAACAAAGGCCAAGGACAATGATGATTGGCTCGACGAAAAAGGTGCTTTCAGGAGTCGGAATAGACGAGGTTAAGGGGTGGAACAGTTGGTTCATTTGGCTAAAAGGTGGGATCGACTCTGGGGCTGGGACGAATCGATTCATCGACCACTGCGCCTCGGAACGGAATTTATTCGTCCGCCGAAGTTAGAGCGGTTGCTAAGAGAGTAGACACTGGAGATTGAGATCTTTGACAACCGGTACTGCAACTGGAGTCTGAGGACAACATCCATGACGCCTCTGACTTTCAATACGTATGATAGGAATCTCTGTCTGATATAGCGTACGGGATGTTGGAAGGATGAAAGGGAGAGACTGCGGCCGCGTTACTATACGTAAGTCCCATACGGATAAAATACAGAATACCGCGGGATCAGCTCTGTATTTTACAAAGGTCATGGCTATACCGTTACGGCCTGCCTAAAAGAGTCAAACTGAGACATCTCAGAGCAATCCTCGACTGCAACTAAATCGAGGATGCAAGATTATACTATAATGTAGATAGATGGACACAACGTATCTAACAAGTACCTATTACTTCAAGTCCGCTGCAAGATTCTTCCCTTACCTCTCCGAGAACTGTTGGAATAATGAAATGCTCTATTGATGCTGAAATCCTTCCAGAACTTCCTCATCCACAGGCCTGAGCCCCGATCCGCTGTGGCGGGCCTCGGCGACACTGACAGTGACAGCTGGCATATGATGGGTCACATATTTCATGCTTCATCAATCATCATTCCCCAGCGATGGCACATAAGTTAGCCATTACCAGCTTGACAAAACACACCAGGGTCTCTCCTCGCGCCTGTCTCCATTTCCTCGACATGATTACGACTTCCAAGAGGTCCAAATCAGGTAACAGTACTCCGTACCCTTGTCTGATCGGTTTTATTGATCTGTCATTCGAGAAGTCTCGGCAGGCGGACTGGGCCGATGGAAGGGCTTGCTTTCCATGGTCTCCGTTTCTCAACATATGTCAAGTCTTGGACAGCTCATTCACGGATTGTGCTGCGGCTCGTCAACTAAGCGATCTTGACTCAGTCTCCTCAAATAGGAAGCATATGATGTGCATGTGATGGGAGAGGTGTACTCACCTAATAGAGCTACGGCATCAGCGCATCTTGACTGAAGAGTCATGCTTCCATCTGAAGTACTTTTCTTTGTGAAGATGGGCCACGTAGCGCCCTAACTTCTTTGAATCCTTCAGCGCCATATTACGCGTTACCTGCGGATACCACCGGCTCATGCAAGGGAGCATTGATCCATGGTTTCGGGAATAGACAGCCATTGATATGGAAGTAGGTCGAAGATTGGACCGTGAGGCCCGGATATATAACTCCGGAACCATCACAGGTGAGTAGTTCCGCCACTAATTTTTGCTGTCGATCAATAGTTGATACACCCACCTTTGCCCCTTTGGAAAAGAAGCTGTTCGCCAATTCACACCTATGATTGGATGTCGTGGATTGGAGACGGCCGTATTGGTAAGTTTATTATTATAGCAGATCAGCCGCGTTTTCTCCCAGTCGAATGCTTCATCTCCTTGTTCGCGTGATGCAGTCCGGCGAGGGCAGACTGATAATTATCAATGTTGTGGGAGCGATCAATGGAACTATTGATCTCAACGATATGTACTTACTCTAAGGAGGTGAAGTCAGCTTGACCAATAGGTGATTGTACTCCTGTGAGGTTCGCTGTCTAGTATCTAGACAGTTGGCCTCTGGAGATCGTCAGATGCAGAAGAGCGTTAGTCGTAAGCCCAATGCAGCTGAGGGGGGTGGCTCCTGCGCACCGCTGTGCGCATAGATGTATGCATGGCAATGAGGCAGCCTTGGCCAGGGTAGACTCATGAATGCAATTGATTACAGTTTCGGTCTGAGAGTGCAGGTTGCTTTTTTCGTAGGATGTTGTCAGGCGCTCTTTAAACAGAGTTGTTTCGCGCGTATAAAGCACGGTGGAGCATCACAAGACAGTTTCAAAGCCCAGACAAACCTTGTGGACTCCAGTTCATGGATCTTGTCCTCGCTACGTTCTCTTCTGTGCCCGATTTTCTTGTTGCTCCATAAGACATGTCTTCGGAAAGTAGGTACCACCGGCTCTTTTGCACCTTATCGGCATTGGGAAATCTGGATCGTTAACTAGTTTTCTCATGTTAGAGAACGCGAAGTTACCATCCTCGACTGCCAACAAATTCGATTATTTGCAACAGCTGGTACAAATACCGAACATCCGAGAGGCTAGTTGCTTGTTTAGAAAACTGATTCAAGCGGGTGCAGACGCCAGGGTCATCGGATGTCCAGCTCGGGAGCCTCACGTATGGCCATTATGCCATCATTTACACTGATGGCAATGGCAAAGTGCGGCTACAAGCTTCTCCTTCAATTGCGAATAGCTGCCAGACCATCCTGTCACCCATCGTTATAAAGAACTTTCTGGAAGCAGTGGCACTATCGAACAAAGACAGAGTGTTACCCGGTCCAGGTAGGAGCTTCAGATATCCACAACAGAAATTGACTGACGCCTGAGGGGTAGACTCCATCCACGAAACGCCTTCGACCAGAGGAAGAAGCCCGCTGTCGCCACAGTCGCTTGGGACAGGAGAGGTCAACGACGTGACGGACCAGGATGATGTAAAGGCATCGGAGCAAAGAGGCGCAGCTGAACAGGTGCCTACTGATTATGGCCGTCGGGCAAAAAGGAGGAAAGTGTTGCATGAATGCGTAGTGCCACTGAACATCACTTGCCATCAGAAAGCCATGTTGCCGCTCCGAGACAGAAGGCTTCTGCGAAGATTCTATCAAAAAGCGTTCGAAAGCCTGCAGCAAATCAACTGTCGAACCATCGCTAAAGCATATGTCAAACTTGTGGAGCCCCGAAAGCAAGTCAATTATCCTTATAACGGGCGAAAGCTCATCGCTGGTATCTCTCGGCAACTTGACCCAGAGATGACAAAGCCAGCCTGGTGGCCACATGGTGTCACACATAGAGAGCCCGACCATCTTCCCAAGGCGGGTAAGATATAACAGAGTCTTTTTCCAAATTTCAGAAGCTGACCATATCAGAGAGAGTTCGATTGCTTGTACACATTCTCTGCGAGCTCCGCGACAGCCGTGGCATCACCGTCGCGAAGCTTAGAGAGGCCGATCAATCCATCCGCCGTCAGATTTCACCACCGGACCGTCTGGGGGTCCTGGACGAGATCTATCGCGTTAGAGAAGAAGAGGAGAGTTACCTGGACAACCGTCTCGGTACGTAGCCCTTGAGGTCTATACCAACATAAAAAGAGGCACACTCATCTCTTGATAGATGAACAAGCAGTTGTGTATATCTCCCGAGCACACTTGCCGGATGAGAGAGACCCGAAGGATGCTGGTTCTCCCATGGCAGAAGTGATGAACGCAGACGTGAACCCAGTTTACAAGCGAGAGAGTCATGACATGGAGTCCCACACATCGGTCTTTCCATCAACCGGAGCTTTTTTCACCAGTCATACTGATACAACAAGCGGGAAGGGCGATCATGAAATCATGCCCACCAACCCGGATTCCTGCCCCTCCGCGGCAGTACTGACTCCCAGGATACCGACGGACGTCCACGAAGGGGAACATCCGTTCTCTGTAAGCATCCCGTCAGCTCATACCTTCCACCATGCTCCTCCACCTGTCCCGTTAAACTTTCACGCCTTTCCTCTGCGATTTTATCATGAGCCGAATGTCAGTCATGGGCAGCAAGATCATCATGGGCCCGACATGGGCGTTGCTGGCCATGGTATGGAGAGTTGTCCAAACCCGTACTACTTTAACTTTTGACGTTTGATTCTTGGGAGGCTGATGAAGCTGCCTTCAATTTGTCGTTGGGGGTGGATTTTCTGGTTTCTTGATTTCGGTTCTTGTGGATCATTTGGCGGGCTATTTGATACGAGTCAAAGCGTATATTCTTGTTCATCATTGTGCTTCATATAGAAATTGAATAGTAGTAAGTCCCACCAACCTTGAATCAACAGATCTTAATAGTCAAGTGTTAAGAAATGGCTCGAGAAGTTGAAGACATTCGGAAGGAAGAAGAGGAAAGGGAGTTTCGGTTTGGGAGGGAGGCGACAGAAGAAGACACCTTCCTATTTGGCTGTGCACCTGACCTTCCAGAAGTGGTATCTAAAGCTGCCGTTGAGCACCGCCCTAAGATGCTCGAAGCAAAGTTCATCAACTCAGGTTCTTTTGTAGATGACCTCTCTTGCTTGCAAAAGATGTATATAAGAGGTATGATTTTTCATGAACAAGCGCAGTTTGTGTTTCCGCAGTGAAGCTAATCAAGATTAGATAGATGTAAAATGAATTCATCTTGCAAGTTCTGGACTTATCTCAACTAGTTACAAGAAAGAAGAGGAAAAAGCAAAAGAATGAATATGCTAGGGCAGTGATCCGTTTACAGGCACTGCGAGTACCAGTCATTCACTTTCTGGCAAGTGCTTCCACTGACACAAGTTGTTGGCCCCGTCCAGCCGATACCGCCGCACTGTCCCCATTTCTGAGCGACTCCAGTAGGCCCTGCACCTCCTGTAGTAGTAGTGGTAGTCGTCGTCGTCGTTGTGGAGCCAGAGCCGCTTGCTCCAAGACCCGCCATCAGGCCATTGTATGCCGGCTTCTTAACATAGTTCTCATCCCAAGGCAATGCGGCGCCGTAGCCTTGGAACACGCTGGGGACCCAGGAGTACTTGTCGGTCCAGTCCCAGATAGTGACACCCACACAGCCTGTGGTGCTAACGCATGCTGCGGCCACGCCCTGGAAGTCAGTGGACTGCTGAGCCAGCTTTGCGGCGGTCGAGGGCGTCTGCATGCGGATGTCAAGTTCGGTATAGGCCACCTCTACGCCGAGAGCAGTGTAGCCCTGCAAGACGGTCGTCAGAGCCGATTGGCTCGGAGTGCTGCCGACAATGAAGTGTGCCTGGAGACCGACGCCGTCAATCTTCGCTCCGTAAGCCTTGACCATCTTGACGATGTTCTGTGCAGCAGTCGCTTTGGCGCCGGAGTATTCAATGTTGTAGTCGTTGTAGTAGAGTTTCACGTTGGGATCTGCGGCGGCAGCAGTCGCGAACGCAATAGGAATGTATGCTGGGCCGATTATCTGGTAGAAGACGGAGTTACGGAAGGTACCGTCCTCGTTCAGGGCTAGATTGACAGGCGTGTCAGTTTCGGAGGTACTATTGAAGGATAGATGGAGCAACGAACCTTCATTGACAACATCCCAGGCATAGCACTTCCCCTTGTAGTGAGTGACCACGTTGGTGATATGGTTCTTCATGGCCGCCAAAAGGGTTGCATTGGTCCATGACCCGCTAGAGACTGTCAACCGTTAGAGAGTATTTCACCATAAACAAGACGTCCACTTACCCCAGTTGGGTAGCTGACTGTGCCAGACCAGAGTATGGCACCGCATCATCTGGCCATTCTTGTTCGCCAGATTGACAATGGCGTCTCCGTTTGAGAACGAGAAAGAATTCTGAGAAGGCTCGGTGGCATCCCACTGTCCATCAAAGCAAGCAATTAGCTCCTGACGCAATGCTCCAGGGAAAAGACGTAAACAAACCTTCATGGAGTTTCCGGGAGTGATCTGACCAAAGTCATCGGTGTTGCTCAGTTGCGCGACATACGCAGAGTCCGAGAGCTCCGGGTTGTCAGTAGCGGAGCCAAAGTACTTTAGTCCTTTGGCTTTGGCTGCTGTGTTCAGGCCAGCTCCATATACGCTAGAGCGATGTCAGAGCTGTCTCTTCCTCTCGTGAGTGGGCAACATACAGAGGCAGAGCAGCCAGGGCTGCTGCGATTGAAGATAGATGAACCATCTTGGAAAGTACTTTGAGATACGACTTCAAGAAGGATAGTTATCTAGTCTAATCAATTGCAAAAACTCCATCGCGCAGGTCTGGATGCCCGTTCTTATACGAAGATTATTATGGTCTAGTAAAAGGACCAGGCTAATAAGACATGGTTCTCAATACTCCTCGTCCAGATTGATCCAGATCACTTCAACCGGCGCTAACGTCGTCGACGCTCGACGGCCGGCATAATTTCCTTGGTATATTCTTCAGGTCAAGGATAATGCGAGGGTCGTGTGGCCTGCTCGGGGCATGGCACCGTGGCAGATTGGTGCAGGAAGGTATTGCCCACACTGACTTCATCGTTTTGGGCAGCATGACCGGCTCGATTTCGGCCAAGGAACAGTAAAAACCCCTATTTGTCGATTTGTTTTTGAAGCAGATCAAGCAATGATAGCTTTTAGCCTGAAAATAGACACGAACGCTCGTAGGAGAGACGGCTGACGACTGAATGTGAGATTGCCGAGGAGTAGGAAGGTGGGCCAAGGAAATTTGTGTAGGGAGTGTGATTAATCTATCTTCAACACCAGAGTGATCATTACGAGTTAGTGTCGTTGACGAGGTATTTAGGGTGTTTCAGGGGTCACTTCAAGACTTCAAGTGCGACAATCGATGTTTTGGCTCCCCGTTTTAATGAGAGACTTTGCTACAAATGTCCTTTTGAGTTAAAAGAGGTAATCTGTCAAGCGCGAAAGCGAACCATGATCAACATTGCAAGAGGACCAGGTACGAACGACAAATGCTGACTAGACTACCACTCTTCAGCTTCAGTACGTCAACGAGGAAGCGAGATCCACTAAACCTCCATGTTTCCCAAAGTGGAGTTCTTCAGGGAATGAAGGAACGGAACTTCCCCGCATTTTGTCCGGATAAATTGGAGCAGAGGAGTGGCTGACCATCTATCCAATTCACTCCTTAGATGAACTGGCTTCTAGCCGGAGACTTAACGAGACATGACTTTCGTCAGTAGCGAACTAACGTAAGCGGAGGTCATCTATTCATCCTATAGTCATAAAATTTCGTTACGTAGGATATTCGGCCCACGATTCCGATGCCATTCGGCAGTTTGTCCATACAGCCTGAAGAAATACAGCCTGCAGAACAGCCTATGGCTGTATGTACATCATTGAAATTATAGGTTACCCCAAGCAATTTCAGCGATCGAAGATCCGAGAAATACACGAATCCCTGTGGAGTGCAGAAATGCGGAGAGCGATGCCTCTTTTCTCGGGTAGACAGATAGCGGGCATATTGCCCAACGTTGCCAGCCAGGCCGCGGTGTAGTGAGCTCAGAAGCATTCAGTCTGACAGACTACTGCACATGCAATAGCCAGTGCATCCCTGAAGTAAACACGCCGGTGGACGAAAATTCTAACCGGTATGTACTCCTAAGGATCAGCCCTCTTTTCTGGCTTTCATCTCGGCGATGAATTTTGCACTCTTGGAGGTCGGTATCACGTAGATCCTGACAAGCTCGTCGACTACTTCAACCTTGCCCCCACTAAGGATCTGCAGAAGCGGTAGTTTCTTACCGGCCTTGATCAGTCCCCCTGTCACGGTTTCCATGAAGCAATCAACACCGTTGATCGTATACTCCTGCTTGGTGTCCCATGGCAATGGGAAGATGTACTCCAGATGATCTTGAATAGATGTCGCCTCAGAGAACGTTTTAATAAAGTCTGATTGGGCGTCCATGTGGTACAGCAGCACGGCCGGGAACTCAAGGGTACTTTCGGGAGACAAAGGATCGGGAGTCAGCCGAATATGTGCATCCTCCATGTCCGGCGGTTGGGCTGTCTTGCGAGTCCTGATCTGTCTGGCACGTAGTGCAGTACCGAGAAGCTGCTTTTCCTTTTCTATCCTTTCCTCTTCCGCCTTCTTTCGTTCCAGAGTGGCCTTGCGATCAGCAACTTTGGCGGCCACTTGTTGTAGCGACTTGTTGTTGGGGTCAAGGGCAAGACCCCGCGAGGCGGCATCTTCGGCCTCCGGAAGCTTGTCGAGGGAATAAAGCGCCATCGCGGAACGGTAATAAGCTTTGATATTGTTCGGGTTAAGCTTGAGAATAGAGGCGCAGTCGAGGGTGGTCGAACGGTAATTTTCTGAGCCAAATTAGCAAGTTGTGCCAGGTGTGGCCATAACGCCGTGACCTACTCAGTTCCAGATTGCACAGAGCGCGGTTGATGTATGAAGCCTCCTCGACCTGCCGCAGGAGCTTCTCCTCCTCCTTTGGATCCTCTGGTTTATCCCACTTATCGAGTTTACTTGTCACTACCGCAAGAGCTTTGGTATAAAACTCCTTCGCATCGATCCATCTCTTTTCTCTCGCTGCCTCGTTGCCTTGCTCGCGGTAGCTCTGGGCGACTTCACCACGGGTACCTTCGTTCTGGAGAGCTTGTATGGCGTCGAGCATGGGATTTTCGCCATCTATGCAGCGAGTGCATCGTCAGTCTTCGGTCATGATATTGCATCTATTGAGTGGGGAGGATAAGCATACTTTCGTCGCCCGCCTGATTGATATCGGTCATAAACAGCGGGGTTTTATTCATCATGCTCAAAAGCTCCTCCGAGGTATGTGACTTGACCGACGCCATAGCCGGCGGCAGCTTGGGTGCATTGGGGTCATTTTCGAGCTCCTTCAACCTCTCTTCGTTGATTGGAAAGGGAGTTTCTTCCACGGCGGGAGAAGGGCCGTCATTGTAGATTTTGGAGGGAGGCACCTCGGTACTTGGAGGCTGTTCGTTAAGATTGAGGCGCTCGTCAAAGTCGTCTGGAAGCTCCTCTATTTGACCCATCGTGCTATCTGTGGTTGAATAACCAAATGGTTGACATCTTGATCAAAAAAGTCTCACGAAATCAGTACCTAACAAATGCGATCAGAACAAACATTGCAAACAAGAGGGGATAGGGTTTGCCCTTTTGCCTTATTGCCTTGGAAATGGAAGGCGGTGGGCTGTCCCTTCCGGAGGGTGTCCGCAACAGAAGGGTAAGTGCCTATGTAGGTTCGGTGATGCCTCTCTACTCCGTACATCAAGGGCAGCGGCAGGTAGCTAGGTAGGTGATGCATCTTACTGGAAGATAACTGGAAACTCATAAATAGTGGAAAATATCAAGGTAACCGGTGTTTCTGAATTTCATCTACTGGCCGCCCATCCCCCGGTACCGGACATTTGAGGGGATTGTACATCTGTATCCATCCAGTTCACAGCGCCATGGATGCCCATAGACACTTCTTTCATGAGATGCCATTGGGAGTACGGGATAGCGCCGCTCTATTCCAGGCAGTTGAGTGTCGGGTCGGACCCTTGAAATCAACATCCTATCCTTGGTCCACTGCATGTTTATAAGATCAACTGCGTTCCTGGCTGGAGCCATGGTTGACAGTGTGCTTAGCACAAGCCACATCACTCCTTGAGCGTCCGTTCTTTTCAGGTCCTTGAGCCTTCAGATGGGCCGTTAAGATAATGTCGTACAACCCAGTTCGTAACTTCTTGAATGGATTGAGTCGGACGAACCCCGCGGTCTCCTCAAACCCCGCAGCATCGGTTGGAGACCGATAGCCGATACAGGAGCTACAGTATGCTTATATAGTTCTTTGTAAACAGGGTACACGTTTTCCATGATCTCATCAAGCTCTGAATCCAGTCGATGGTATTGCGTTGAACATTGATCAATCCTTGCACTTGTCTGATATCACTCAATGAAAGAGATGGCGACTACTTACAACATCCTCGTCCTTCCGGGCGATGGGATCGGCCCCGAGGTCATGACCGAAGCGGTCAAGGTGCTAAAGGTTTTTGAGAATGAACACAGGAAGTTCAACCTCCGGCAAGAGCTCATCGGGGGCTGCAGCATCGACGCACACGGGAAATCCGTCACAGAAGAAGTCAAAAAAGCCGCTCTGGAATCCGACGCCGTGCTCTTCGCAGCTGTCGGGGGTCCAAAATGGGACCATATCCGTCGTGGTCTTGACGGGCCGGAGGGAGGCCTGCTGCAGCTGCGCAAGGCAATGGACATCTACGCGAATCTCAGACCGTGCTCGGCCAGCTCGCCGAGTGCGTCGATCGCGAAGGAGTTTAGCCCATTCCGCCAGGAAGTGATCGAGGGTGTAGATTTCGTCGTTGTGCGAGAGAACTGCGGAGGAGCGTATTTCGGGAAGAAGATTGAAGAAGAAGACTACGGTACGTCGTCACTTACAAGCAGTATGCTTTCAGGACTGACTCTGTTATTTCAGCAATGGACGAATGGGGCTATAGCGAACGCGAGATCCAGCGCATCACCCGTCTCTCTGCGGAGATTGCCCTCCGCCACAACCCTCCATGGCCCGTCATCTCCCTGGACAAAGCTAATGTACTCGCCTCTTCACGGCTCTGGCGGCGCGTCGTTGAAAAGACGATGACTACCGAGTATCCCCAGGTGAAGCTCGTGCACCAGCTGGCGGACTCAGCGTCGCTGATTCTAGCGACTAACCCGCGCGCCTTGAACGGCGTCATCCTGGCCGACAATACATTCGGCGACATGATTTCTGACCAGGCCGGTTCCATCGTCGGGACATTGGGCGTGCTTCCCAGCGCCAGTCTCGATGGGCTACCCAGTGAGACTAGAAAGAGAACGAATGGTCTGTACGAGCCGACACATGGATCTGCCCCGACGTACGTTCCTTTCCTCGTTTCCTGATTTTCAGGGTTTCACTATGAAGCATGTTGACAATCATCTGCAGAATCGCGGGCCAGAACATCGCCAACCCCGTCGCCATGATCCTCTGCGTGGCACTCATGTTCCGCTATTCGTTAGACATGGAGGCCGAGGCGCAGCAAATCGAAAAGGCAGTGCAGGGTGTTTTGGATGCTGGGATCCGCACCCCTGATCTGGGAGGGAAATCGGGGACGAATGAAGTTGGAGATGCGATTGTTGCTGCGCTGCAGAGTAGTTCATAAGCTTTGATGGGCGTGTCAGCCAGACTGAGATCAGATTAAGACAGATCCAAAGAAAGAAAACTCCTTGAGTCTAGACTCTTTTCCCCAATAGTGAGGTGAAGCTTGAGCCTCAGGTCTGATTCCCCAGAACAATGGGCGCAATCAAGTGACGGGAGTGAACAAAGACACCTCCTCAGAGTTCAAACATCGGTATATTGTTTTGCATGGCTTATCATATTGAGTTATGAGCGAAAACAAAAGATGCTGGATTAAACAATCTGTTAAGGAATAATATAAGCCATGACTATACCTACATCCATCTCACCTACCTTCTACAATCTCGCAGTCCTCTACAATTCCAACCATTCAATCACTACGAAATGACCAAAGACATTAGACACACATCCTACATCGCCCGCCTCCAGACCCTCCCAAACCTAGACAGCTCCTCCAAACGCACCCTCCTCTGCTCCATCGCCACCGACATCACAGCAACCTTCATCTGTATCTCAAAACACATCGAAAACGGCACTCTGAGCGATGAACACACCGCCTCCATCGAGAGCGTCATCGACATCATCAAGGGAACGGAGACGTCGCAGCGCCGGATGCTGGAGCGGAAGGTGAAGCGGTATGCGCGGCTGGCGCGACGGCTGAAGAGTGAGAGGGAATGGATGCGGAGGGAGTTTGGCGAGCTGGTGAAGCGCGCGGATGCAGTCAATTTGCGGTGGAGTAAGAGAGTGCGGGATCTGGAGGTGGTGAATAAGGCGATGAGGAGGGAATTGGTTAAGGGCAAGCAGTGAGAAATCTCAAGATGGGGATAGGAGCAGCAGATGCGACCGAGGATGAGTTTTGAGTATCCCGGTGACATCAACGCAATCTTTTTGATGCTTTAAGCTTTCATCGCTGGAATTTGGACATCTGCAAAACAACATCAATTTCACGTGGCAATGTTCCCCTGTCGTCCGTAATTGGCCGATAAATTTTGATGGTGGACGACTCCGTGGCAAATTCAGCCATGGGGTGAATATTCCATTTGGAGATTGTCACATCTCAGTAAATGCACTATTTGACCATCAGTATTCATATAGACGGTCAATTGCTGAATTGAATCGAATCGCCATATCCTCTGCAGGTAGATAGATAGAAGTGACTTGTGCGTTCTCAAGGCGGAATCAAAGTTCCGAGGTTGAATCACGCAAAAAGTTTCGGATCAAGATTCCCAGCACACCCTGGCAGAACTCACAGGCATCCTCCGACAATGATGATATCAAACTAATCACCAAAGGAATTTCTACCTGTAGTCTCATTCTGGTTGTCATCCACGGTAGTCACTGATCTTCCAATACTGACGCGATAGAGTACAGCATACTCCGTTACAGCCGGACGATCAGCTGCGCGAGGAAAATGTCGCGATGCTTCCCCAGATGTTTCCAGAATCCGGTCCAGATCCCGCGAAGGAAAAGCCAGTAATCAAGCAGATATATCAGATCAATTCTTCTGGGACCAAATGAAATGGACCTCGGCATCTGAACACTTATCGGCCAGAATCTTTGCACTGATTCGGCCCGCGGATCCACTCCCTTTTGTCCTTCATGTGCGACAACTGACAAGAAAAAGAGTCGACGCCTCCCAGGCTCAGTGACCTTTGACCTTCTTTTCTCTCCTTCATTGTACATTCTTTTCCTTTTGACTCTCGATACCCATAGTGTTCTGTCTCTCTTTTTTTTGAGTTCCGTGTTTGACCTGAAGAGGCTGTTCAGTGTTGACCCACCTATCGATACCCCGGAAAGAACACAATCTCGCCGAAATGAGTAGACCCGGGGATTATGACGCCGTCCGCAAGGACATCATTGCTCAGTTGAAGAAACCCGACTATGACGATGGCAGCGCAGGTCCCGTATTCGTACGACTGGCATGGTTCGTTTTCTTTCTCTCCTTTCCGGCACACTCGCCACTGACACCTCTCCGCTACCAGGCACTCCGCAGGCACATATGACCTCGAAACCGACACCGGCGGCTCCAACGGCGCAGGCATGCGCTACGAAGCCGAAGGCGGCGATCCCGCCAACGCCGGCCTCCAGCACGGCCGGGCCTTCCTCGAGCCCGTCAAGGAGAAACACCCCTGGATCACATACGCCGATCTGTGGACACTAGCCGGCGTGGTCGCCATCGAAGCGCTGGGCGGCCCCAAGATTGTCTGGAAGCCCGGCCGGACGGACCTCGTCGACGACTCCAAGGTTCCCCCGCGCGGCCGCCTGCCCGACGCCGCACAGGGCGCCGAGCACCTCCGCGCTGTCTTCTACCGGATGGGCTTCAACGACCAGGAGATCGTCGCGCTAGCAGGCGGACATAACCTCGGCCGCTGCCACATCGACCGCAGTGGGTTCCAGGGTCCCTGGGTGAACAACCCGACACGGTTCTCGAACCAGTTCTTCAACCTGCTGCTGAAGCTGGACTGGAAGCCGAAGACGCTGCCGAACGGGATTAGCCAGTTTGTGTATGTGGATCCGGACGCGGAGGAGGGCGACGAGCCGCTCATGATGCTGCCAACGGATATCGCGCTCAAGACGGACCCTGCGTTCCGCGTGTGGGTGGAGAAGTACGCGGCCGACAAGGACCTATTCTTCGATCATTTCGCCAAGGCGTTTGCCAAGTTGATGGAGCTGGGGATCAAGCGTGATGAGAACGACCGTGTCATCAACGCCGATAACGTCAAGGGCGGGTACATCTCTGCGCCGAAGAAGAGCAATCACCCCACTGGGCCGGCGAAGGGGGCTCACGGCGGTTGCCCTGTGGCGGCGTCGCAGGGTGGATGCCCTCGGGCTAAGCTATAATCCTTTTCTTTCTCTGCCTGTCAATATTTTAGAATCTTCCTTTTTGTGGATACAGGATCGGACTAGATAACTAGATCACGGGTGCATGTACATGTATAGATTAGACGCATACAATACCATGTTTGATTTTGCTCCAAAGCAAATCGAGTCGTCTTTTCTCATAAGAAGAGGAAACTATTCGTGTAGGATAGAAAGAAGATCTTCAGTACTAATATACCCGGGGAAAGGGGAGAGTAAATGCGGGGAAGAAAGTATCCCTGCAGCCGCACAGACAAACGGCATCAACGGCACCTCCGCTTCGCTAGGATTTATAATTCATTGGTCGTCGAGATTCTTATTATTCATAGCATTATCAGCATGGCTTGATCTACTTGGGAATGTTCCTCGGCCTAGAGACGGGTGTGTCGATTGTTGACAGTTGACTTTGGTGGCCTGTGTGCAGTGTAGCCGCAGTATGCATGTACCTTGTTGAAGTCCAATCCGCTACAGATGAATTGACTATTTTTGACTATCATCTCAGGTGAAACCGTACTATGAAATTCAAGAACTCAATATGAGAAATAACAGATTGTTGACCCAAATCAAATCATTAACCATGTAAGCAAGCTGCAACAAGCTAGCAAACTCCAACCCAAAACAAAATAGAACAAGCAAAACCTCACTTAAATTCATCTGCTGAGCCTTGTGCTTCTCCTGGTGCCGACTCTTTCGGTCCGTTCAGCCTGAGTTCGTGCTCTTTTTCTCGGGGGCGGTTCCATCGTAGTGTCTGCCGTGGCACCATTGTCACCATCGCCCTTGTCGGTACCGTTGACATTGTTGCCTTCGCTGCGATTGTTGTTGTCGCTATTGTCATGCACTTCTTCGATGGCTCGCTTTGGCGACACACGCATATAAATTGGCTGCAAGGCACCACACACCGCGAATCCCGCCATCATCTCCGGTGATGGCTGACCTGTCTGCCCTGTTCTCTGTTTTTCGGGGCTGTTCGACGCAGATGGGATCCAGAAGAATTGCTGTGTGGGCGAAATCGACATTGCGCTGGGGTCGCCGGTAGGCTGCATCACGAGCGTGTTTGTGAAATTGGCGAAATTGCTGAAGGGGTTCTGCGGGCTGTTGCTTCTGCGATTGAAGCCGCTGAATAGGCTAGTCGTGTTCATTGGTGGGTTGATCTCGAACGGGTTCACGCCTACAGGTTGCGCCATTGCAAAAGTCGAGACGAACGGCCCGACGGTGGCTGGTATCGCAGAAGTGTATGTGGTGGGAGCCTGCGCGTATGCAGCCTGCTTCATCCCTGTTGGAACGGGCGATACTCGCATAGAAGATCTGACTGATGTTGGAGCGGAGGGTAGATCAGGGCTGGACGAGCGGCCTGACGAGTGGCCAGCCGAGCTGACGGAAGTCTGACTTCGCACAGTAACACTCCGTTCCTGTTCCTCTGTAATACCATCTGCTGCAAGCTTGAAGCGGTCTGCGTTGGGCAAGATTCGGTCCCAGGGAGGTGACTGCCTGGGAAGAGTAGGTTCGGCTCGGGTCCAGGGCGTATGCTCCTGGGCAACTAGTTTGCCCTCCATTTTCACCTTCATCATGTCAAGCAACGAGTGATACGCAAGACTGAATACTTCGGGCTCCGGGTCCATGACTCGTTCGTAAACGAGGAATGGCACCGAGGTGTTTCTCCACCATTCCGGAGGTACCCTCTCATCCCTATGGGCCGGTGGAATATCGCCGATGATCAGGCCCGCGTTCATCGTGCTGTCATACATCTTGAGGAAGCCATGGTCGGTCTCTCCTCTCTTAGTGTCCGTCCAGAACACGCGATACCGGTAATCCTTGTAGTAAATGCCTCCCAACCAACGGTACGTGGCCTTTTGCAGCTGACCATCTCCATCGCAAAAGTCGAAGGTGATGTCCTTGGTGTGGTTTTTGATTGAAACCTGCTCGTCAAGTCCGACCACCATGCGCAGGGGAAGAGTGTCGAATCTTCTCTCGATGGTCACAGATTGTGGAGCGTTGCATGCCGTACAATCCGCATGAAGAAGAGGCGCGAACGGACGGGCCATCACCTCGGTCATGGACACCCCATGCATATCACCAGGATGCAGGTCGGGCGCCACGAAGGTTTTGGTATGTGCTTGAACAGTGGCAGCCTGCCCGGTACATTGACAAGGCGCAACTGCTTCTCGGTAGGTGAAATGGAACTGGTCAAAGTGCCCCGCGCAATCAGACCAGACAGTCCACAAAGGGCTGAGCAATCCAGGCTGGACGCCTGCTACGTGCTCCTGAACGACTTCCCAGAAGTGGTCTCTCATTTCTGAATTTTCATCCAGGGAGAGAACATCCCAATTGACATCAGTGGCCTCGATAAAGGCTCGCTCCAGTGCACCGAAGCGGGTCTCCCATCCAGCCCTCTTACGATCGATAACCGTGGACCCAGCATCGAGCAATTTGCCCACAACGATCAAACTGTCGATGGTGCTCGAGTTGTTTTTCCAGATAGGGCCTCTGCCTCGGCAGGGGTAGTCATTGCCGGTGGGATCGATAATCGTTCTGGTAGGGTCGTGCGGGTCCAATGAGAGCCGCACTTGGGCATTTGCATGGTACAGTCCAACAATGGCTTTCGATATGTCTCTTTCATCCAGAGCAGTAAGATATGGCCGGGCGACGGTCTGTGGAGCAGCGCTGGCGTCTCGCTCAAGCTCCAAGTAGGCATATTTCATGACGACTTTTTCAACGTCCTCGATGATTGCTCGAGCCATGTGAGCAGGCACGCGAACGACCGCAGAAGGAGCGGGTGCGGGTATAAAGACGCCCGTTGGGTTCGCAGGGGCTGTAAGGGTTGGGTTTGCGAACGGTCCAGCTGCTGCACTAACCACGGCCGTTGTCAGGTTATTGTTTTGAAATGCAGCAGTATTGCCATTACCCCCAATGTTCAACGTGCCCACCGCGGGCGGGCTTGACCCTAGTGCTTCTGCTTCGGACATATCCAAGTCACGACTGGGCTTGTTCATTCGCTCAAGGTAGATATCGGGAATATTCGCTGCAGCATTCGCCGGTCTGACAAAGTCGGGTTGCGTGGTGTCGTCCAGCGCCGGGGGATCAGGGTAGTATCTGCTGATGGGCAGGAGAGAGGGATGGTCGATCTCGCAAGACAACAGTCTCGGGCCACCATCTTTGCCTTCAAAGTCTAGAAGGTCTCTGAAAGATCGAGGTCGGTGATAGTCTGCCGTGTAATAAAAGATCTTCCACAGAGCTTGCAGAATTCTCAAATTGGTCAACCGCGATGGCATTCCCGTGTCGATTCCCCAGCTGTAAAAGTCCAGCATAGCTACCATTTGCTCGCGTACGTATTTGCGCGTACGGAGGACAACGTCCGCAGACTCCCCAAGGAACTTCCAGCTTGGGGGTGGATCAGGCATCTCGGCGAGATTGAACCTGGGGTGGCGAAGGGCAGGGTTCGGCCAGTTGTGGCCATGCGAAGATTCGCCGGACGAATGCTCCGCCGGTGAGCTCATTGTGGTTGTAAGTAGACTGAACTGTTGAAGATGAGTGCTAGAATACTATTGTAGGGACAAATTGCGCAAAGTAAACAACTGTATGGCAGGGAACAGGGAGTTAGGGATGAAACGATACAAGTTGGAACAAACAGGAGCAGGTCGAGAAGAACGAGACGATTTAAATACGCAGTAGAGTCTCGTCTTTCGAGACATATTGCCATTCATTCAGAGACTGGAGACAAAGGACTTCATGGCGACTTGATGGTAGACAAAGATAGAGCATAGAACAAGTCAGACGTGGAAAGAATACCCATATTCTCGGCAATGAGGACCAAATACTTGGCTATCAATCCTGGTTGCAGAGCTCTCCACGTCTGTTTCTCCAACAATTGAGCAGAAAGCAACCTCTACTAAAAGAAGGTGTGCAGATTGCCAGGCTGCCATGGCCAGTCAACAAGCGACGGGGTAGGAGGATCGAGTCAAAGGACTGTTTCAAATCAATCACCATCATGGTGACAGGCCCTTTGTCCAGGCTTCGAATGTCTTGATTGTGTCTAGAACAGACAGTCCAGCAAACTCAACAAAGATGGAGAACATAATGGCTGTTGCGGCAATCCGCGCTATACTTTAACCCAGCGAGGTGGACGATCGAGCTGCGAACATGCTACATGGTTGCGAATGTCAGTTATATGGCAGATGGAAGGGCCTGCACAAATGGGATCACATCAAATTAGCACACGATATGAGATCAAAGAGCATCTGCTGTTTCTACGAGGAAATCTCGCTCTGTCGTGAGGTGCCTCTTGAAGACGTCTCTTTCATCAGATCGATACACATTTTCATCGAGAAAAAGACGAGCAAGAAAAGCACTGCAAGAGGTCTAGAACAATCACTCAGAAGAGTCCATGAAGGTCTCAAAGACATACGACAATCCTCTAAATGGCAGACCATAGAATCTCTGAATGAAGACAAAGACCGACAATCTCCAGTACATCTGATACAATACACATACATGCCAAGTCACGTGCCAGATCTAATGCGAAGAACAGGTAATTTATCCCTGTTGAGTTTAGCGGCTTCGACAAGCGAGCCCTTAAGCGGGCTTTACCCAATCAGGCTAGACCACTGCTTACCCGATCCCACAACGGGAGCGAGCAAAGTCATGGAAGGCGCCCTCGATTTCACCTCTCCTTCATCCCTCTTGCTGTCGACAATCAATCGCGAGTCCCGTCGCGCCATCGCCCATCATGTGTACGTTCATCCCATATTCCCGGACTCCCTTTGTTCGCACATTGCTATTTCCTCGATTATTTGGTTCGGAAAAGTGGTTGCAAATGATGGAAATGAGAGACGGGTTTCAAGACCGTTGAAAATTGCTCCATCGGAGGACGCTTTTCGGAGACGATAAAAATTCAGAAATGACGGAGAGAACAAGAGGCTGACTTGATTTTTTTTCTCGATTCTACAGCGCTCGTGTCCGGCGAGAAGACGAACTTCCAGTACATCTTGCGTCTGCTCAACACCAATGTTGACGGCAAGCAGAAGATCATGTACGCCTTGACCCAGATCAAGGGTGTCGGCCGTCGTTACTCCAACTTGGTTTGCAAGAAGGCCGATGTTGATCTGAGCAAGCGGTAGGTTTCAATCTTTTTCTCTTCTTATGACATCTACAAGTCGGTGGTGTTGGTGTGGACACGAGGAGAACGAATGAATCGACTTGAAAGAGTTTCACTACGATGACAGAAGTTGACTTGAATCACAGCGCTGGTGAGCTCACCACCGAAGAACTCGAGCGTATCGTCACCATCCTCCAGAACCCCACCCAGTACAAGATCCCCAGCTGGTTCCTCAACAGACAGCGCGACATCGTCGATGGCAAGGACTCCCAGGTTCTGTCCAACGGTCTGGACAGCAAGCTCCGTGAGGATCTCGAGCGCCTGAAGAAGATCCGCTCCCACCGTGGTCTGCGTCACTACTGGGGTCTCCGTGTCCGTGGTCAGCACACCAAGACTACCGGCCGCCGTGGACGCACCGTCGGTGTCAGCAAGAAGAAGGGCTAAACCATTACGGATGTCTTTTTTGTTTTCCGCTGGAGTGGATTTGGTGGGACTATGTTGGTGTGTGTTTACGAATCCTCGTGGGACTCTGGACTTGATCTGGTGTTGATATAAAAACGACACGGGCCCCAACAAAAGCGAAAGAAATCATACCAATATGAAATGAACAGATCAAAATCACTCCTTTTTCCTTTCGCGTTATGACTCGGCATAGCTGGTATTCTATGGACCTACCTACGTGGTGGTAATGATTTCGCCGTACCGTTCCATTGTACTTCCGTAGTTCGAGTAGGCGTGCGTCACTTACAAGGACTCCAATACTTAAATGATCTTTACCGGTCTGAGAAAAGCTGCCATCTTTCTATAAAGTATAGTATATATATCGCCTTCTCAACTGAGCCATACAATCCTGAGCATCGTTTATAAATAAAATTGGGTTATGCAATATGCGCACAGACAACACTATCCAAAAAAGACTGCGATATAATCAAAAAGCCAGCATGTATCCAGTATAGCAACGAAAAACGATGTCTAGAACCATTCACCTCCCAGCCAGCGGTTGAAGAATTCAAGACTGGCCTCGGGCTGGTCCATGGGAACCATGTGTCCAGCACCGTAGAGACGCATGAAGGTGAAGTTGCCGTGAGACTTGATCTGGCCAATCTTCTTGCCCTTGTGTTCATTCTCCTCGATGACCAGATCCTTCAATGGAAGAGGTGCGTACTCCTTCTGTCCAGGCCACTCGAGAGCCTCGGTCCAGGCCTTGTTACCGAGCCAGTTGCAAATGAAGTCCGCGTCACCGGCGTAAATCAGGACGGGGATCTGCTCAAGGAGGCCAGGAACCAGGCGGTGGTAGGGCTTCATCCAGTCACCGTGGAAGAGGAAGTTGCGGTTGATGTCGAAGTTGCAGGATTCGTAGCCATCGACTTCGGCACCGACAGCTTCGCGGACTTCACGCTTGTTCAGGTACTCGCTAACATAGCCCATGCCCTTGTAGCACAGGTTACTCGTATCCTCACACTTGCCACGAATATCGTAGACGTTCTGGCCGGTTCTCTGGTAAGGACCAAGGAGGGCGTTGTTGCAGTAGATCGAAGCAGGGACGCAAATCCAGGAACTCTCTGTGTTGTAGCAAGACTCAATCATCGACTTGCAACGAGGCAGAGCGTTATCCATAGACTGGCAGCTGGCTTCGTCCAGGACAGCAGGATAACCACCCTCACCGCAAGCCATGGGGCGGTAGTAGTCATACTGAGTCAAACCATCGGTGAGACCATTGCCAATGAGGACAGACTTCAGGTTGATGTTGCGCTTCTTGTGAGACAGGATCTCAGAGGCAAATACTGGGATGTAGTGACCAGCGTACGACTCTCCAGCAATGTGGAAGTCCTGTTTGGCATATTCGGGGAATTGCTTGAAGAAGAGGGTAAGGAGGGCGTAAACATCCTTGCCTGCAGCAACGGTGTCGCTAACAGCAGCGCCACTGTAAGAATAGCCGACATTGACGGGCTGGTCGAGGAAGATGACGGAAGCGTTGGAGTTCCAGGCAAAGTCATTGTAGACGGGCTTGATCTTCTCGTTGATGCTGCTGGGACCAAGCTCCAGGAACAATCCAGTAAGGGAAGAACAGCCAGGACCACCGTTGAGCCACAGCACAACGGGGTCGTTCTTGGGGTCATTACGGGACTCGAAGAACCCTTTGAAAGTTAGCATTCAGCCATGCAAGGATGAGAAATCAAAGTGAAACTCACAGTAAAACAGGTGCTTGTCATTCTCGTTATCGTCAAGATAACCAGTGTACTGCTTCACACCAGGATCGATACCGAGAGCACTAGGATCGGTCTTCTTGACTCTCAGATCATAAGCCTCGAGCTTGCCATCGATCTCCCGCTCCTTCTCGCCGCTGGCTCCAGTGACCCAGACACTCTGGACATCAGCACCGCGGACGATGTGGTCCCAGTGGGAGTCAGGACGACGGGTGTGCTTCTTAGGCAGCGAGAAGACAGGGTTATGATCCATGCTGTTAGGGAAGTGGCTAGCAACCTCATCCCACAGATGACGAGCCTCACCAGACAGGGTCTTGAGCTGCTCTTGGAGGTCATGAAGAGGCTTGGCCAGTGTGTCGGCACCCTTCTTGGGCAATCCGAGGATCTGCTGGAAGGGAGGAGCAGCCGCAGTGGCCGCTCCGACCAGCAATGTAGCTGGAAGAACTCTCATGATGACTTAATTTGTTTCCAGAACCACCCGGGATGTGTATTGATGATGGATGGGAGGATGGAGGATAGAGTACCCTGGGGATGGGGGATGACCTGAGCAGCGAGCTTATCAGTACCGTATCAGTGGGATGGAGAGAGCACAGTGATGGTTGGCAACGTACGATTCACAGATAAACAAAGCACAAATTGCTAAAACAGTTGATGAACACTCGACTGGCTTGAAGATAGATGAAGAGAAGAGGAGAGGAGATGGCGGATGGATGGACGAGAGGTGAAGCTTGATGGGCAGGGCCAATGACGACTGAATCAGCAGCACTGATAGCAAGGTACGGAGGCAGCCACTCAGAGCGCGGTGCCTTGTGCGGAGAACCAGTCACATGCCGGGTCACCTGCCGCTGAGTCACGAGGGCGGCACGAGACCAGCGTCATCGCATTTTTAGTAGGTACATTGGGGATAGTCGCATTTTTGGAGGGACTACATGACTTTTTTCATCACGAACAGCCACATTTATTTCGATCTCATAGATTAATATTGTTTAAGTTTCGATTGCAGAGAGCCTAGGAGGCTCAGAGAACATAGACAGAATGCCTATCAACCAACCCTCCAATCAGATCAAATTCACCAATGTATCAATCGTCCGATTAAAAAAAGGTTCATTCCATCTCCCCTTCAGATAAAAGCATACTGAATCATCACTAATCCTACAAACAGGCAAGAAGAGATTCGAACTCGCGTGCTACAAAAACAAACTCCTAGAATACCGCTCCGGCGCCGAAAAAGACCTCGACAATGTCCTCCAAGTCCCCACAATCTTCCTCTCCGTCTCAAAAGCCCAAACCGCCCCCTCCGCCGAACTAACAAAAGCCTTCGGCTCAAACGTATCAACCGACGAAATCCGCCAGGAGATCCTCCGCAAAGGCGAAGTGCAGGTCGGCGAGCGCGAGCGCAAGGAGATGCTGGAGCGGGTGGAGAAGGAAGTCCTCGACATCGTCTCCGGGCGCTTAGTCGACCCCAACACGAAACGGGTGTACACGCCGGGAATGATTTCCAAGGCGCTGGACCAGTTGAGCTCGGCGAGCGGGCAGCAGCAGATGCAGCAGGAGGGGAATGGGAACGGGAACGGGGCGGGGGATGAGAATGGGCCGGCGCAGCCGCGGAAGCCGCTTTGGACGGGCGTGACGCCGAATAAGTCAGCGAAGAGTCAGGCGCTGGAGGCTATGAAGGCGTTGATTGCGTGGCAGCCTATTCCTGTGATGCGGGCTCGGATGCGACTCCGTGTCACTTGTCCTGTGGCGCTGCTGAAGCAGTCTGTCAAAGCTGCTGCGGCGCCTGGGGCGAACAAGGAGAAGGAGGCACCGTCTGGCGGGGCGAAGAATAATAAGAAGGGTGGAAAGGGTGGTAAGGGGAAGGGTGCGCGGCAGCAGGACTCCGATGTGGAAGCTGGTGGCTCGGACGCGGAGACGGCGCCTGCTGTGAAAGCCCCAACCAACGTCAAGGACAAGATCATGAGCTACATTGAGTCGGTGGAGAGTCAAGAAGTGGTTGGCGGTGATGAGTGGGAAGTGGTGGGGTTCGCTGAGCCAGGCGCCTTCAAGGGGTTGAACGACTTCATTGGCACCGAGACTCGCGGAAGAGGTCGAGTCGAAGTGTTGGACATGGCGGTTACCCATGAGGATTGAGGCTTCCCTTCTCCGTGACATCCCTCCGCCCAATCAATGATTACTGTCTTTAGAGTCAACTAAAAGTATATATCCTGCATGTTTCACTTGATGTCTGTTACGAGCGATGACAGGGCTATGTAATGATTAGTCAAAGAATAGCATTATAGAGATTGAACAGTCAATGTATCTGGAAGTATTTGACTATGGGTAAATATGAGTGGTAGCGTTAGAAGACACGCAGTTACATACTCAATCTGGGAATAGTACAGTAACACTACAGCGCCAGAGGAACGAAAACCACAACAGACCACAAGAAAGAACAGATCATCCCGCCACAAGCAAGACAACATCCTTCCCCGGCCCAAGTTCCCTCGCAAGCCGAATTGTCCTCTCAACCGCATACCCCGTCATCGCTGCCGAGACAATCCCCTCCTGACTCCGAAGAATGTCCGCACCCCGCAAGGCCTCAGCATCCGTCACAGCAACATATTCCACCCTAGCCGTCTCCTTCCAGTGTGCCAGTTCAGGACCAACGCTGGGAAAGTCGAGATCGGCGGATATCGAGCTCGAATCGAGGATCTGGCCATGCTCGTCCTGGAGGAGATAGGTGCGGCAACCGTGTAGGACGCCGAGGTCACCGTTGGATAGAGGAGCTGCGTCTGCCGCCTCGATGCCAAGCAGTTTCACTGATGGGTGTTCAATGAACGGGTAGAACATGCCGACGGCAGCACTGCCTGGTCCGATGGGGGAGACGAGGGCATCCGGCAGCCGGTCACCGCTGGCGCTGCCGAACTGCGTTTTGATCTCCTCGCCAAGAATAGACTGGAAGGTGCGTGTGATGGTTGGAAGCGGGTGGGGACCGATAGGGCCGCTCATAATGTGGTATGTGGTGCTGAGATGGGCGACAGAGTACCGAAGGGCCTCGTTGACTGCAGCTCGGAGGGTCCCGCGACCCGAAGACGCGCCCATGTCTGCAGTGAGCACTGTGGCTCCGAGTTTTCTGATCATGTCCACGCTGTCCTTCTGATTTGTTGCGTCCCGACTCCCCATGAGGATGGTGCACTTCATATTCAAGCGTGCGCAGGTCGCCGCGCAGACTATACCGTGTCTGGCCGAGCCGCACTCCATGACGACTTCGGTCTTTCCTAGCCGCCGTGCGAGCAGGGCTTGACCGACGATGCTGCGGATATTGTGACTTCCATGTTGGTTGAGATCTTCCCGCTTGAGCCAGATATTCGCACCGCCAGCGATGCGCGTGAGGTTTTCTGCGAACCGAAGTGGGCTAGGACGGATACCGGGGAAGCTTAGGAACTCTTTCCAGAAGCCGTAGTCGGAGATGAGACGGTCGAACGCCAATGTGAGCTCCTGCAAGGCGTCCATCTGGGACTCGGGAGCAAAGCGACCGCCAAAGATGCCGAATCTGGTTGGAGACAAGAGGATTGGCAGGGAGGGGAGAGGACTTGTTTCCCATGCTGCAGTATTGTCAAGCGTCTCTCCGTTGATCAGACGATCTGACTCTAAAGATGTCGCGAGCTGTACATCATGGAGAAGTAGCGTGGAAGGGACGGCCGTCCTCCCTTGTATAATGCTGAGATGATAGAGACATGCTGGACACATCGAGTGAGTATCTCCATTTTTGACCCTCTTGTTGCGTCTCTTGCTTCTGATTCTTGTCAGAGAAGGCTTGAAGCTGGTCGGAATAATCATGGTCAACAGATGTGCAATATCAGGGATGCAACCAGGAATAGACAAGACGGTAGAGAAGAGAATGAGATGTTAGTACTCGAACAGGTGTTGAGAGAGACTCATTGCCGTCCAGGCATTTATACCCCAGGGCACCTCAGTCTCACACAGACCTAAGTACCCCCACCAGGCAGCCAAGCGTTGCAAAAGTTGTCAGTCGGTCAAGAGGATGTCCATCGAGCTTGGGTACTTTTGAAAGACACAGCGAGACCATAGACATATCGAACCCGACTCCACCAGGCCCGCAGGCTCGTCGCAGTAACGTCACGAACCAGGAGCCAAAATGCTCAAGGAGGCCCAGGAATCCTATCCATGCGTTCCTCTTGAAAACCATGAAACAGGGACACTCCTAGCAAGGATCTGCACAGGGTGCTCGCGTTTGTTCAATCCATCACAATCCACACGTACTTCATGGAGGAAGCTCCGAGTAGAATGTCCTCACTGGCCACATTCGCCTGAGCAGGGCGACGCACCACGCGCAAACTGACCAGGGTACGACATCCGGAACCTGGAAGCTGGGACCGATGAACGCAGACTAGACCACTTGTACTGTGGCAACTTGCGGTGTGATTCGCCTGTGCTTTTGACAGCTCAACCCTGCAGCCATGTAGCAGCTGCGGAAGCGCTCTATCTTCAGGCTTCGCAGGACGAAAGTACGAGACCCAGGCGGTTGGGTACGACATTGTCATTGTGTTGAGGGTTGACCAGGTTGTCGGAGCCGGGGGGAACGAGGAAAATCGACCCGATCGTCAAGGAATCATATCGTGTGTGTGTGGTTAGATCGATGTGATTCCCAGCGATGTGGGTACTGGGTTGTCGAGGAGTAGCTGTGAAGCCTGTGATTGCTTCAAAAGCTTCGTTGCTTTTTCGACAGCGATGTGATGAATCAACTCATAGGTACTTCCGTACTTGGGCAACAACTCCTTAAATCATAAGTGATTCTAGAACCGCACCAATGAGTGACCCCTTCAAACAATCCAATATTGTCTTCTTCACCTGTCAATGTTGATGGGTCCCGGGTTAGTACTGACGCCCGATAGTCTACCCGCCTCTGACGTACCAAATATAGATGCAGGGAAACTACCGACAGAATGATCGGCGTGGAGGTTCGATCTATCCATCATCAACAACAACACCGAGACCAGTTCGAGGGCGATCTTCCGTCACCGACACGAGGTGAGTCGCAAAGCTGCGAACCCAAGATCCGGACGCACCATCCGTCATCCCCGTCTGCGTAGACCGCCGGTGGCAGGAAGAAGCATCCGGATCTCTGATCCAGCAAAGTTATTTTAGATTTCAAATCCCAAAGTTTATCTACCACGATCAGCCCAGTCAGGTTCTCCGTTGGAAGGTTTGGCTGAAACTTCTTGTTCACCTCATTTTCCTCCTGCTGTGGATAGATAGACTTGACTCTTGATCTCGAATCCACTCGATATTCTGTGACGCTAGTTGGAGCGAGATGGGTTTCATTTGTGGCACTATTGTCTTGGCAGGTGATAAGGCGTGGATACTAACTGACTCGACAATTGAAGGTATGAGATAGGTAGTTAGGGAGTCCAATAGTCGGTTCAAAACAGAGTGGATGGAGATGGCGATGGAGATGGTCTGATGGTGTTCCGGAGGTCATTTCCCCGTGCCACTCGCTACGCAAAAGAGGATTTGTTTTAAGACCGTACTTTTTGTTCAGCGCACTCGGAAAACTAGCATTATCTACTCTAGGCAGATGTAAAGAAGATCTTTCTGTTTTGAATAAGTATGCATTTGATTCATCTAACGTCTCACATACAATACAATATCGCATCTGGCCGTTAAAACCGCGAAGGAAGTCAGTCAATCCCAGCTCGGCAAATGAGACGGGCTCGAAAATGTCCATTACGGGTATTCGCTCAATCGCAATGACTAAAAAGATTGCTCCGACCGTACCGCCTACAAGGCGTGGGACGGTTGGGAGCATGCAAGGTAAACGCCGTTCCTCTCTAAAAGCACGCCGTGCATATCTGCATCATACTGAATTTTGAAAAACAAGACCTAGAAAAACGGCCAGGCATTCGAGGTCTCCGGTGAAAGTAAGGTAGGTTGAAGGGAATTCGCACACCAGTGCGGGAGCAAAAAAGTCGTCGAACATAAAGGACAGTCGACAATGGACAAGAGGATTCGTCCGCTGGACAGAGAAGAATGGCAGTTGGTCAAGGTACATTATGAGCAGATCTGAACGGCGTTCAACGCTCGAGTCAGATCATCTGGCGAAAAAGGCATCAAAGTACCCTTTATGGATGTTGGCGGCGGTGGTGACACGGCGCGAAGGATCGGCGAGGTGTACCGTACCGATTCCTTGATTTGCGCAATGGAATCCATTCGAGCATCATCAGAGTACAAAGTCATCGTCGAATCACTATAGCTGCTCGATTCGACGGCTGTAGAAGACGACGAACCCGAAGATTCTTCCTGTCGACCCGGAGCATACTCGTGGTGGGAAACAGTGGCGGAAGCTGGTCGTTGGTCAGAACGTCGTTACGTGTATGCTTGGGATTGCACCAGCATGAACAGAGGGTACGTGTGGAAAGGAGGTAATAGCCACTTACAGTCGAGCAATCCCACCTCTGGGGGTGCTGTCTCGCAGATCTGGTCTGGAGCCACGCCTTCGTCCTCGCTCTCGCCATGACGCGGGTTCAAGTACTGCGATAATGTTGTACAAGGAGACAGTGGGGGGTCTAATGCGCGGGGGCGCTCAGCCTGCGCCGCCTCGAATGACCAGGCGGCCAATCTCTTTTGGTGTTCAGGATCGAATGGGCCGCGGAATTTGGACGGCGGGATTTCACCGCGTTTGTAGTACTCGATCTTGATCCCATTGCGACTGCCATTTCCGTTCGATTTCGATTTGGAGTTGCTATTGGACTTCGAACTCGAGTGGCCATTGGAATTTCGGTGGAACACCTTTTTGAACTTGTCTTTGAAGTTCATTGTGACAGAAAGTGCCAGGAACTGTAGAGTATGTCGTAAGGAAGGGATTGGTGTAGTGAGGTGTTGTAAATAGGTGTTGAGAATAGTAGTAGTTGCTCTATAGCGCCTCAATGCAGACCAGTCCCGGAGAGGGCACGGATGCGCGGGAGGGTGTGCAAGCACAAACTACGATCGACTGTAGTAAGAGACCTTTGGTTCATCATTTGATTATATGAGGCTGGACTAGGGCAGGAGAGGCAAACTCCAGGAAGGGAAAAAAGAAAAGGTAATGGAGGGGAAGAAGAGGGAGAGAGAAGGGGAAAAGACGGAAGGAG